TCTGCTAAACCTTCCACCATTGCCGAAAACGAAGAATTTTTCTTATCCGATTTATATTGAAATGATTGTTCTCCTTGCGTAGAATTACAATTTAAATTTGCATTTCCTTGACCTTGTATATCGAAATGCGTTGACAGCGAATTTTTGCTGATGCTAAAATTTGGAGAAGGTCGCTGTTGTTTTGCAATTGAATCTTTTAAGGTTTGATTATTACCTATTTCCAAGGCATATAAGAAATTTTCTGAATTATGTGAATAAAGTACCGGTGAATCCATATGCGTTTCTAATTTGAGATATATCTCTCTCTTTTGACGCCTACATATAGCTTGCTTCTCGTAATATATATTTTCATACTCCGAGTAGGATCCGCCATGATCAGCAAGTATGTCGATATGGGTTTTAAAAATTAAATCCCATATCCACTTTATTTCTTCTAGCGCTCCTTCAAGCTCATATTTGTCGGAGCCGGAGTATACATTAGATAGTTCAAAAATGTTATCAAGCGACCTAAATAAAGATGCTTGTTTGCGAAGCAACTCTTCGGGTTTTCTTGAATGCCTGATGGTTTTCAGACCGTCGGTAAACGAAGCTTGGAATAAATTCTCCATTATGCTTAATATAATAATTAACTAAACGCTTTGTAAATATTGCATTATAGATTCTTAAATGCTTATACTTGATAAAATGCTCAATGAATGCTTCATATCATTCTTAGTAAAATTATGCTCACAAATGAGATAATTCTCAGAAATATAGTGCTCAAAACAAATGGAAAGGACTTACTGTAGATGCCTCCGTATGCTGAAGATTGACGTCCGTTGCCTTCTTCTAGGTTAAAAGGACGCTGATATACTTTTTGACCGCTGTGGGTCTTCGAAAGTGCTGGGAGCGGATTTCCTGTCGCTTGCCTCCCTATTTGACCGCTGTGGGTCCTTAAAAATGCTGGGAGCGGACTCACTGTCGATTGTCTCCCTATTCGACCGCTGTGGGTCCTTAAAAACGCTGGGAGTGGACTTCTTGTCCCTTGCCTCCCTATTTGACCGCTATGGGTCCTTGAAAATATTGGGAGCGGACTTCCTGTCGCCTGCCTCCCTATTTGACCGCTATGGGTCCTTAAAAATGTTGGGAGTGGACTCACTGTCGCTTGCCTCCCTATCTGACCGCTATGGGTCCTTGAAAATGCTGGGAGTGGACTTCCTGTCGCCTGCCTCCCTATTTGACCGCTATGGGTCCTTAAAAATGCTGGGAGTGGACTTCCTGCCGCCTGCCTCCCTATTTGACCGCTATGGGTCCTTAAAAATGCTGGGAGTGGACTTCCTGTCGCCTGCCTCCCTATTTGACCGCTATGGGTCCTTAAAAATGCTGGGAGTGGACTTCCTGTCGCCTGCCTCCCTATTTGACCGCTATGGATCCTCCTTCTCCTTGCTCTCCTCTTTTCTATTGATGCGGATGATATTTTCTTACTTAGTATTGTCTTTGATTAACATAACTTTTATTCATTTAATAAAACACTATTTTGACCGGATTGAAGTTATGTATTATTATAAATTTACAACTATTTAACATAATTTTAAATTTATCCGACGTTTCGCGTGCTTTACAGCGTGCGTGGTCACGGTGACTGAAGACAAAAGATGTTGAATGTCAAAAAGTATCACAGCTGCAGAGAAAGTTGCATTATCTGTATTTATTTCCCCGGAGTTGGTATCGACTAAAAGATGGAGGGTTTTGGCAAAAATGGCTTACGGTGTCCTCTATTTTCGCGGATTGTTCTTTTTGAGATTTTAATTTGGATATTATTGGATCCCAGGTGTTTGACAATTTTAGGCCGTCTTCTCTATTGAAATTGGAGTGTTTTTTGATTTCAATGGCTTCGCGTACCAATCTTGGGAAGAATCTTTTCTCTTTCGCAAGTACTTTCGGTTGGTCAAAGCGTATGTAGTGATTAGGCCTATCTAGTATGTGTTCACAGACTGCTGATTTTGTGTGTCGTCTATGTCTTATGTCTGCAATGTGTTCTTTGAGTCTGCTGGACATATTGCGTTTAGTTTGCCCTATGTAAGACAGGCCACAGTCGCAATCCAGTTTGTATATACCTGCATCTTGCAATGGGGTGTTACTTTTGATTGGTCTTAGGAATTGCTGAATCTTCTTGTGCGGCTTGAAAATTGTATGAATAGAAGCTCGTTTTAGGATCCGGCTAATTCTATCTGTAACTCCCTTTACATATGGCAAGTAGGCTGGCTGGCGGGGAACTGTTTGTGTCTTGTTTTTGTTTTTGTGATGCAGCCGGGGGATGCGCAGCTTGTTTCGGTGTAGCACCTGTTTGACATGCTGTAGTTCCTCCTCGAGGTGGGCATCATCACAAAGACGTTGGGCTCTCTGAAACAAACATTTACCGACAGAAAGCAGTTGTAAAGGGTGGTGGTGGGATTCACCATTGAGGTACCTATCTGTGTGGGTTGCCTTCCTGTGTATTGTGTGACCTAGTGTGCCATCTGCTTTGCGTATAATTAAAATATCTAAAAAATTGGATCACCTGGGATCCAATAATATCCAAATTAAAATCTCAAAAAGAACAATCCGCGAAAATAGAGGACACCGTAAGCCATTTTTGCCAAAACCCTCCATCTTTTAGTCGATACCAACTCCGGGGAAATAAATACAGATAATGCAACTTTCTCTGCAGCTGTGATACTTTTTGACATTCAACATCTTTTGTCTTCAGTCACCGTGACCACGCACGCTGTAAAGCACGCGAAACGTCGGATAAATTTAAAATTATGTTAAATAGTTGTAAATTTATAATAATACATAACTTCAATCCGGTCAAAATAGTGTTTTATTTTCTTACTTGCTTGATGACCCAACAAACCAGCAGTGGGATGTTTTTCCACGGCGCCGATCTTCAGGATGACGGAGAAAAACGCGAACGCGATCAACTGTACGCGAAAGACCCGCTATTCCCGGATAGCTCGAAGGACCAAAATGTACGGTTCCTGGATCATCAGGGGTTCGAAATAATAGAATAATTTGAATTTACTCTATATTTATCACTCGCGTTATACAATAGAATATGAGCGAAATAATAACTATTATGTTAATTGCTATATAATAAGTGCAATCTAACAAGCAGAGAGAGTGCCTACGTCTGGCTATGCTCCCGGGGTGAAACTCCTATGACTTAGTTAATTACTGCGAATGACTGCATAGTAACAGTCGAAGAGAGTGCCTGCGTCGGGCTATACTCTCGGAGCGTGACTCCGACGATGTAGGAAATCGTCATGCTTATAAGTGATCAAACTGTACAGCCAGGGCACGTACATACATAGGAAATTGTTATGCTTATAAGTGATCAAACTGTACAGCCAGGACACGTCCTTACATAAGACAAACATCACGCTTGTAGGTGATTGGAATGTACGAGCCTTCACGATTATAAAACTAAGGAAGCCTGAGTGGGCAAAATGTACAGCCTTGGCTCGTACAATATAGTTAAATTATTAATTAATTAAATGCTTCGCCGAATAAAAGGGTCGCGTAGCTCTCGTCGCGGTATACGCGCACAGATGGCTGTAAGCGCAGCTCTCGTCGCGGTATACTGTCGAAGTACTTAAGCTCGGCGAGATCTACGCAAAATCCTCTTTCCTTCGACAACGAACTGGGACCCACGAATAATCGGCGAAGCAAGAAACAAGAACAAGGCGCAGTTTCATTTCAAGACAACATCCTACAATTACGCACTAGCAGGGGTGCGTGGGTTGAGGTGGTACCAGCAATACGTCGAACCGTCTTGACAAAACGTACGTAGTCAAACCCCATCGGTATTCAAAGCCGCGCCGAGGTACTTTGGTTACTGCACGGGTGTTCTCAAACGAACACGTAAACGTCTAATCCTGTGCAGGCCCGAGTCTCTGAGGCGTCGTCGGGGTTGGCTAGAATAGTAGTACGTACGAAGTCAAACCCCACCGGTATTCAAAGCCGCACCGAGGTACTTTAGTTACTGCACGGGTGTTTTTAAACGAACACGTAATATCCTGTGCAGGCCTGAGTCTCTGAGGTGTCGTGGGGGTTGGCATCAAAAACTCCTTAAGAAACGATTTGAGTTTTATAACTGGCCCGGTACGGAAATTTTATGAGGAATAAAATCAAGTGTAACACGAAAAGTTGAGGCGTTATGTAGAAAGAGACAAACATATATATCTGTAGGATTGAACGTGTAAAAGAATGAGATGGAATACATTACACAGCGTATCTCATTCTAAAACACATGGATGCGGTTAATTGGTAAGCTTATCGTTTACATTTATGAATAATATACATTTTAAATACGAACAGCTAGATCTTTTATTATGTGTTTGTCCATAGTTTTGGATGGTAAAAAGGACATATTTATTAATAACATAAATAAGTCCTTATTACATGATTATACCAGTTAAATGACATAAGAGTCTAAGAGTATTATGTTATTATTATTATTATTTATTTATATTGTTTTGTAACATACTTTATGTAATACGCTTTATTGAAGTAATATAAATAATCCGAATAATTACAGATATATGTTTGTTTCTCTTATCATTTTAGCAGATGCGTTCATTTACCCTTTTTTTCTATTCGATATATATCATAATTATCGTTCGTAAGGAGTAAACTCCAATCGTGCGTCGTAGCTGACACACACACACACTTTTTTATTTGCTTGGGTTTTTGCGCGAGGCCCCTGCAAGAGCGAGGCCCCGGGCGATTGCCCTGTTCGCCACCCCCTAAGGCCGACGCTGTCAATACCTATATATAATGTAATATTAAGGAAATATAATATTTTAAATGTATATTTTCTTATTTTTCTTTTAAATATTTAGTTTCGAAGAGATTGCTTAGTTAATGTAAGGGTTGTGATGCCACTGGATAGTTGTTATTAGTATTGGAAGACAATAGCATTTTGAGTTAAATAAACTTCAATTGTAACGTAAATTTTTATTTACACAACAAAACTATAACTATTCATTTGAAATGTAATTATTTATCCATTTCACGTAACTGTATACTCTTGTTAAAACATCAGGTCTCCCCTGAGCACAAGGAACACCCCAAGAGACGATGCCAACTTGTACACCATCACTAATGAGGGGTCCACCAGAGTCTCCCTGCAGAAGAAACCTCGATTAAACCATAACAACTATTGAAAACACAATTTACACCGATGTGTCTTCGTATATTACTGCAAGGATGGTTAAGGGATGCAACACGCGAAATTTCATTTTTTATTATTTAGTGATACCGCCGCCCATGGACACTCGCGCTGCCATAAGGCTCGCAAGCGCGCTGCCGGCCTTTTAAGAAATAGTATGCTCTTTTCTTGAAGGACCCTAAGTCGAATTACGGATGAGAATAAAGCAAAGCTCGTTTATTTCAGCTATTTTCATAGTATTATGCCATATGCTATTATTTCGTGGGGTAATGCAGCTGACATTAAATCGATAATTTTAGTGCAAAAGCGGGCTGTAAGAGCGATCTGTGGGTTGTCCCCGTGGAAGTTTAAGGAATAAAACTCGCTGAGAGTGGCGGAAAGTTCTTCAGTTCTTCTCTTCCGTTCTACGCCCTTGATTTGAGAACTGGCAGTAAATGTAAAATTATAAGCATTTAATTTATTGTTTTTTAACGTTCATAAGTGTACATTGTGTAACCTACATGGTTCGGAAATACTTCAGTTGGCAGCTGGTTCCACATAGTGGTGGTGCGCGGCAGAAATTGCCTTAAGAAACGCTCAGATTTATAATGTTAATTATTATGATAAACGCGTTATGATAAGGAAGTCATGTGAGAACACAAATTTAATTCATATAGGACGGTACTTAATTACGTAATTTAAATGTATATTACGTAGATACATTATGAAGAATGCGGTCTGCTCTGGTATTCTGCAATTTCCAATAGCAATCCCGACGTTTTTGTATACGATGAAATCTTTCTATATTCGTGACATGTCGCTGATCTCGCAGTACAGTGCCACATACTTTTCTTGGCTGGTAAGAACGTCGCTGTCATGGATATTAGTATTGCCAGTAAATAAAAATTCACCATTATAAGGAGAATAATTTGGAGTCATAAAGGCTAACTTAAAAACTTTTTGAAATATCTTAATAAAACAATGTATCTAGAAAATACAGTTCCAGTCTTAAATAAATGTGACACAAACTTAGGTATATCTAATATGATAGGTTTTGTTATCTGTACTATTATAATAATATCTTTAAAGATACCTGGAAATCAGAACCGTTAAATGATTATTAAAACTTTGCCATTGTAATTAATAAAAATAAATACTTGTTTTTAATTTGAGTTGGATTTTTATTAGATGTTGGTAGATAGTAAAATTTGCAGTTTTATTTGAGAGTTAACTGACAATGGCGACAACAATGACAAAATGGCGACAGTAGTACCAATTTCACCCGCGCGCGCCGGCCAAGAAAAGTATGTGATGGCTACTGGTGCTGTACCCTTACTCTGTAGGCCTCAATTACGAAACAAACAATAAAGTAAAAATTGACAAAATTCAATTTCACCTTGTGTTATAAGCAGACGAAGTTAGCTATTGCTATGCATAGATGGCGCACTTATTAATAAAATTAATAATTTTAAATCACTTATTTTACTGAAAGTTTATTACTTACTTGACCCGAGCCCTTTCCTTCCTTAGTTATTGTGCAAAGCTGTTTGTCAATGATTGGAAGAAATTTCTCTGTCACGTTAGCAAGCCTTCTATTGCACTCTTCCACAGATATTGTAATTATATTATAGACCACTTGAAGGTTTTCAGGAACTGCCTGTGACTGAAATGATTCAACAAATACTAAGATTGGTTTGTAGTTTTAGCAGTTTTGTATTAAATATTTATTTTTATTGTTTTAGTGAGTTCTCTCATCAGTGAAAAATATATGAGTAGTGTTCTTAATCTGTTTAAACGTCTCCCAACATCCAGGAGTGCAACATTAGCCACTTCTAAAACTTTCAAGATAAATTAAATTACGTATTTTGTATAATAAACCATATCTTATAAAAATGCGGTTTGTTTGATCGATCTGTGACCGGAATTCCAATTCATTGCGGTGACTAATAACAATCAATTGAAACGTGTTGTCATTTCGTTAAGGTAACTTATATACAAATATTACACAGACTGAACACATTGACCAAAGGTCAAATTAAAATAGAAATTACGAAACTTATACGCACATCAATCTTACCCCATCCCGTGAGTTTGCACATTACTCCAGGGCCTATATTACTCGTTGGTAGCTTTATTGGTTGAATGTTAGTATCAAACTTGATAGAACCAAAGATCTTAAGAAGTGAAATGTCATTCTTCGATGTATTTGCAGTATAATTCTCGTGAATGACGATGGAAACTACGTCGTACGAGTTCCCACCAGAAGTGCGTTTGTTTGTGCCAACCCTAACTTGGATACTGTGTGCTGGGACTCTAAAAAAAGCAAACTATATAATTATGATATTTAAAATTATTACACTATGATAAATTCAGTGTTGTCAATAAGAAAAAATAATGCTTTATATTCAAACATAAAGTGTGTACAATATTCTTAACCTAAAAAATAATAATAATGAATTTAATTAAACAAAAAAACAAATACTAACCTTAAAATATAATAACTCAAATCTATTATTAAAAGGAGTCCCTGTAGGCAAGGTTCCGAAGATACTGGCAGCGTCAAAAATTTACCCACTTAACGCTAAGCCACGATATAATTGTCTGCCAACACAAGGTAGTATACGAAATACATTCGAGCTCATCTCATAATATGTCGGAAGTAATTTTTAAGCCTGCTTCAGCCTCTCTAAACACTAAACAGCCCTCAAAGTTCGATAAGGCATACTATTATAGGGCCTAGTTATACAACTTTTAAGGGAATTTCTGAGTTTCCTTAACTAAAATAATTCACTTTTATTTGATACCTATAAGTGCAATGAGCTGCGCTTAAAATCCATTTCTGAGTTAAGATGGTGCCACCACAGAAATGCATTGTTTCTGTGCGTCCCTGGACGTGACGAATACGTCTGAGCGATGCTATGAAAGGGGCAGAGCCTTCAGCTGCGTCCTCACCACCAACTACGCGGGGATCCAGGTCATTATTTATTTCTCCTTTAAAAAGAGGTCATCTATTAATAAGTAAAGTTTATTCTTTTTCCGACGTCGAGATATGACGAACCCTTCTCTGGTGCAAAAACCCATTGCCGAGGTGATTTCTCTAACTCTGCGCTCTATAACTTCACATTTTTAAATAATCAATGAAGTGTATCAAGGTTAAAAAAATCAATTAAACACAAAATACACAATACTAACCTCTCGCCTCCCATAGCAAAAATGAAAATATGACTAGTGCTTTAAACATGGCCTGACACTGAAGTAATATCTATTCAGAAAGTTGAAACGTATTATAATACTCTTTTAATTTACTTGTCCACAAGGGCCAACAAAAGGTGAAAGCGCAAAAGATACTATTTCTATTTGAAATATGTTTGACTAGCTTATTTGGTTAAAAAATAACTTACATTTCCTATATGTTTCTACACACAAAAACATTCGTCTCTGTTGACATATGCGTAACAAACTCCATTTCACGTTGATACAAAACAAATTTACTCTTTATTGCAAATCAAATCAATTTGTGTTCTTATTTTATAATTTAATCATAGAATAACAAAAATTCTTTTACGTAATTACTTTATGTAAAAGCAATTTTTTCCATTATGTCAGTTACAATATTGTATTATAAAGTTTAATTAAAATTAGATTTATCCAATTAAATATATTTCTCCCACACACATTTTTTAGTGTAGGCACTTGTTGTTCATTACAATTACATATATTATGTAAACGTATTATTAGGTAGGTCACTTATGTAAAACAGCTCATGCATACCAGTTACCCCGATTTCGAAGTCTCCGAGGTTCTATTTGTCTAAACCAAACCGTATAACAATCGATTTAGCACTTTAAGTGAATGAGCGTAATGATAGTTTCATAATTATTAAATTAAAATTATATATTTAAATTATTCATAGAAACAGCCTCTGCAAATGGGGCTGTCTGTCGCGCCTTGGACAAATATTTTACTTTTATAATATTATGCATGTGACGGTATATTGATATCTATGGGAATAAAAGAACGAAACCACATTTCAAGGATCGTCATGCTCGCTTAAATGTTATTACTTGTGGCCGCGTCCATGCGTCGGGTTGTCTCTCTCCCTAAAATATGGCGAGGGGGCCGATTAGTATTAGTATTTGCGTGTTGTTCCCACGAGAATGTAAGTGCGTGCTCCTATTTCACCATGCCTCCTGCTTAAAGAGGACAAATGTTTGTTTTTAATTTATTTTATTATTATTGATCACTTAAGATGTCATATGGAACATGGTGTAATGGCTGCAGCTCCTTACAAACGTTGTGTAAAAGAAAAAACTTGGCGATTAAAAAGAGTGGCGGAGAGTTTATTAGCAGTTCTTCTCTTCCGTTCTACGCCCTTGATTTGAGAACTGGCAGTAAATGTAAAATAAGAAGCATTTAATGTATAATTATTTTTATTGACTTTCATAAGTGTACATTGTGTTACCCACATGAATAAATGATTTTTGATTTGATTTGAAATTGTTGATGCTAAATGCATTTTATGATTTGCTGTATTCATATAATGTGCTTAGTACTAGATATTATACTTTTATATATAAGAATTGAAAAAAAAACATGGAGAACATAGAGCAAACCAATTTAAAGGGATTTCCATCGTATGCGGTAACTGCATGCAATTGCATAAATGATTTAGACTAAAATAATTTATATGACAACTAATATTAGGTCCTTATATATGAAATTGGCGTATTTCGTACTGGCCACTTCAATCACGATGTTTTCCTCTTTGGTAAGGAATTCCAAATTCAAATTGTACAGCTAAAATACATGAGTAAATACTCATGTATTTGTGCTTCGATGACCATCATCCATTTGTTTTTTCTTCTGTTTTTTTCTGTTTGCGTCACTCATTTAACAAAATGGAAAACTTAAAGTATCGCATTATTTACGAGTACGAGTTCCGCCGTGGCACTAGTGCTGCGGAAACGACTCGAATGGTGAATGATGTGTATGGCGGTCTTGTTGCAAAAGAAAACACAGTTCGTTTTGGTTCCAACGTTTTCTTTCTGGAAATTTCAACCTGCAGAACAAGCCCCGTGGACGGCCTGAGACCCAAGTTGATAATGAAGTATTGAAGGCTATTGTGGAAGCGGATCCATCGCAAACCACGTCCGAGTTAGCTGCAGGCTGTGGTGTTAGTGATAAAACTGTTTTAATTCACTTGAAGCAAATTGGGAAGATTAAAAAGCTTGAAAGATGGGTACCTCACGAATTGACTGAAGCAAACCGGCAAACGCGCGTCGACTGCTGCGTTACATTACTGAACCGGCACAATAATGAAGGTTTTAAACCGAATCATTACCTGTGATGAAAAATGGATTCTTTACGATAATCGAAAGCGCTCAGCGCAATGGTTGGATCCTGGCCAGCCAGCCAAATCCTGCCCCAAGCGAAAATTAACCCCAAAAAAGTTACTTGTAAGCGTTTGGTGGACTAGTGCCGGTATTGTTCATTGCAGTTTTCTCAAATATGGCCAGATTATTACGGCTGATGTCTTTTGTCAGCAATTGCAAACCATGATGGAAAAGCTAGCGGCTAAACAACCTAGGCTGGTCAATCGCTCCACGCCACTGCTACTTCACGACAACGCTAGACCACACACTGCACAACAGACGGCTACCAAATTAGAAGAGCTTCAATTGGAATGTCTAAGACATCCTCTGTACTCCCCGGACCTTACTCCAACAGATCCTAGTGGAAGTGCCATGCTGTTGCTTTCGGGCTTCAGCCAAATGGGCAGGCACTACCGGGGCAGTACCACTGTCTCACAGAAAACTGGCGTGAAGTGATACAATAGGTTCATCTTGTTGTACTCGCGTTTCGTGCGGTGAGTGAGACTCCCGGAGCCCATCAATCCCCCCCCCAAATATGAAGGTGCAGTTTAAACAGAGATTACCCCAGGGGGGTACCACACGTTTCCGCTGTGGAGAATCCCCCTCTGGGCTTCCATCATCGGAACAATTGGTATTCGATGGTGGATGCACAGGCTGCCCTTCGTATTCTGGGGGGGGCAAAAACTGCGCTAAAAACTTAAGTAGTAATAGGTTTCGATCTCGGGGCAAACGGAAGAATCTACCGAAGGCAACCCCTTCCACGCTCACGGTGGACTTTACCAATGTTAGGGGGCTGAATACTAACCTAAACGCGGTTCACTTTTACTTAGAAACTTCGAAGCCGGCCTTATTCTTCCTTACTGAGACTCAGATATCCTCCCCGGCTGATACTTCTTACCTCTCCTACCCGGGGTACAAATTGAACATCCGCGATTCTATGCGTGCCTGTATAGGTCCCATAGCGGAAATGACGAAACTAACCGACTCATCGGGCACATTCAAACGGCTACAGATTCCCTGCTCGAAAGGGTTCCTACCGCTGAAATCGTGATACTTGGCGATTTTAACGCCCACCATGCCGATTGGCTTGGCTCTGATACCACCGATCACGCGGGAAGATCCTTTCACGACTTTGCTTTAGCCTACGACCTGACACAAATGGTCCCTGCGATTACGCGAATACCAGATGTGGATGGTCATAAACCCTCTTTGTTGGATCTTCTGCTGACTTCAGATCCGGAGAACTATCAAGTCTCTGTTGAACCGGCATTGGGTTTATCGGATCATTGTGTGGTCCAGAGTACTGTGCCTTCTACTGCCCTTCACGGCCCCTCTTTTTGGGTTGTCGCCGTGTTTGGCACTATAAGTCAGCAGATTGGGCCGGGATGCGGTCTTTCTTTGCGTCCTAACCTTGGGGGCCTATGTGCTTTTCGTCGGAAGCTCCAGATTCCGTCGCTGCCTCTGTCGCCGAAGTGGTTCTGCAGGGCATGGAACTCTTTATTCCATTTTCTGCGGTGCCGATCGGTGGCAAGTCCCAGCCCTGGTTTAAACGTTCTTGCAAGGCGGCTTCGCGTCGAAAGCGAGAATAATAATAATATTGTAATCTCTCTCTCTCATATGAATATTGATATGTTCGCATACATATCTGGTGTATTTTGTTCAAATAATGAATGTACCGAAAGCTGATGGGATAGTGAGAAAGGCAGACCTATTTTGGGGGCAGTCATGCTCGAAAAGCATTCAAAAGCATTTATCAATGTTGATAATGTTTGACAATAGAGAAACTCGATCCGAACGGCGGCTGCTGAGTAAATTTACTCTAATTTGTCATTCAGAGGAGATCCATTTCAACAGTACATGCCATCGAAATCAGTTAAATATGTTATCAAATATTGGGTTCTATGTGATTTTCTGCTACAAGTTACGATTGGAATATCCAACCCTAAACGGTCTAAGAAATAGGAATATGCCTGAAACAACATGACTAAAAATAAATATTACCAAATTATTGAGTCAGTTATATTGATGGATATTGTGGTACTAGACTTTTTCCTAAAATAGAGACTTTGTTCATTTTTATATCGTTAATTTACATTTCAAGTATTGTTGTAGACTAAAGAAGTCTACTTAAACGTTAGTCGTAAAGTAATTAGTTAGAGTTAGTCGTAATCTATTCTCGAAGACGAAGCCATACTAGATCTATTTTACATAAATTTACCCCTTTATGATTCCAATTAAAAAATTAATGAGAACTTTGTAATTTAAATAGTTGTTATCACTAACACCTCTCAAATACAATTAAAATACTAATTGCTATGGAAAAATCCAAGAAAGTTAATTAATTTGTTCAAGTAATGCTTATCACGCCTACTAATCGCCTGCTATAACACTATTCTAAGCAAATCCCGGCCAGCCGCATCATCCATGGCCTAGACTTGGACTTGCTGCAGCCACGCTTACCTACAGCTGCAAGCGATACAGGGCAAAAGGTGAACATTCTACGTCTCAAAATAGATTCCACGTAGTTCCTCCTAGGGAAGCTCGTTGCTCCATATCCGAAACCGCTGATATTAACAGTGATCGCCACCTGATTGTTGCCGAATTATGCCTTAACTTGAAATTTAAGTTTATTATTTTATCGTCCTATTTTCAGTACTTTATCTGTTTTTAAATTTTTGAATCTGAGAAAACAGAGGCTGGGAATTTCATTCCCTGTGAAATTAGCGTTAACTTCCTTTCCTTCTTAAAACATCTTGAAATCTTAATAAGTAACAAACATACAAGTCGTTCAAAATTGTTTAGATATTTCTTAACGATTCAATTAAGTACCAATACTAATTATTTTTTCCGTCCTTACCAAAAAAGTATGTTTTTGGGTAAGTTTTTTATAAATAGACCGCTGAAAATAAGACATGTTACATCGAGGACAGGACTGCAATAAAGATGTTTCTTCATTTTGGAATATTGCTTCTTTTGTCCCAAGGAATCTTTGGTAAGATAAACTTCATTTAATTACATCTCTGTTTATACGCAATATTGTCTCACGAACAGTCATTCTTAGCGCTGTCTCGTCAATAACTGTACCTTATTATAAGATATCTAATAGAATACGCTTTTCTCATCACATTAATTTTGGACAAAAGTGTTCGTAGCATTTAAAATAATTCCGCAACAAAATAATCGAAATTTAGATAAACGTGCACGAACCGCGCGGAACATGTAGCCCAATAGTATAAAGTACGTTCACAGGCGAAGAGGACGTTTCGGAAGCTATAGATGGAGACAGCCGAATAATAGGTGGCCAAAATGCCTCTCCAGGCATGGCTAAGTACCAAGTTTCAATTCGTGTTCAAAAAGGAAATCAAGATTTGCACAATTGCGGGGGGTCTATTATAAATCAGCAGTACGTCTTAAGCCGGGTCCACATTTGTAGCATATTGACGTATCACGATCAGTCGTATCGTATCTAGTATCGTCTAAATATACGCTCATTTTGTCCATGTCGTATATTTAAGGCGTATCTTGTAAAAACGCGTCCATATACTTATCAAATGCTGTATCATGTCAGATCGGCTTTAACTTTACAAATATAGACGCCTTCACTTTTCTTCCGATGTATCATGATGCGCGTGTCTTTCAGTGCACCTTTCCCTTCTCGCAATGTTCAGTCATGTCTTCGTTCCCAAACGGTTTAACCATGTCAGCAATTGCTCAAGTTTGGGGTGACTAGGCCTGTTATATTATCATTAATAGTATTTAAAAAAAGTTAAATTAGACGTAGACGGGTGGAAGTGTTTAGAAACCGAAACAAACATGGTGGAATACCATTGATGGAGATTTAAAAACTTCAGTATACCAGCGGAAAATACAAAAATTTCACTCGCATGTACCATTGATTTGTGTATTCTTTATATGCGAAAAACCGACACAGGATGGTTGGGTGTATAAGTATCGTATCGCGATACAGTATCGTGATACAGTATCAAAATACGTCCATACCACCATTGATAGTATGATAGAGGTGTATCAAGAAGGAGTGGGATGGGCGTATCGATAGATGTATATAAAAGGTATCATTTGCGTCCAAACTAACGATATATAGGCCGAAGCCAGCAACGGAGATAGATAACCGAAATGTACAAATGTGACGGTTTAACTGCCGCTCATTGCATTGTTGGGTGAGTAAAATTTTTCATTCCTATTTAAATTTCAGTTCGTTATATTCGACACATGTACTTGCTTCCTCACACCGAGTCGTGATGATCCCGAACCTGGTGTGGCAGATGACGGCAAGCCGTTTCCATTTACTTCTACTTTAATAATTTAAACTGTGTTTAAGTTATCATTTCAAGTGGGACGACGTACTTTAATGATGATATACTTATAATAACATAGGTGGCGTCCCGACGCGGTGTCTATAGTAGTTGGCAGTCACCAGATCAAATCAGGTGGCCATCGTTACAAGGTTAAGAAATTGATGCCTCACGAGCAGTTTTCAAAGGTCACAGCGAAGAATGACATAGGCGTCATACAAGTCGAAGGCAGCATCCAATACAACGACAATGTTCAACCAATTGGGTTGTACAACCGTCAGGTATCCGTTGGAAGGAAATGTCTTTTGACCGGTTGGGGATTAGTAAACAAAGTGAGTATATTAATTGTGTCATATTCTTCCAACGAGAAATAACTATTGTTTCTCCGGTATCAGCCGGTGATAATGTGAAGAAATATGGTACACAAAAGCCTTTTGGCCTAGTGACCATATACACTGTTTTAAAATGGAATTTCGCTGCTCGCCTTAAGGGCATTTACAGCGCAGCTCGGGCTGTTGTGGAAGGCATAGCTCGACCGGAATGGGCTTTTACCCACAACTAGAGTGCAGAAACCTCTCCTGCGAGACTCGCCCTTCACCTCGGGCCGTCGGAATTTTATTTTTGCTTTGGCACGAGGTCGGCGAAATGTTGTTCGCATTTCAGCCCGATTATATATCCCTGGGAATAATTCAAACTGAAACTCAAAATATCTTTATTCATGTAGGTAAACAAGTACACTTATGAATTGTTAGAAAGAAGTTAAATTAATTGTAAATTTACATTTACTACCAGTTCGCAAGTACGCCCTTGCGTAGAGCGGGTAAGAAGAACTGGCAAGAAACTTTCCGCGACTCTTTTTAATCACCAAGTATTGTCATACAAATTGTGTTAAATTGTGAACGATATTCGAGAACTTTCTGTAGGAGTGGCACTGAGTAGTTGGAATTCTGTCCTTTTTGCACAAATTCAAAACGTACGTGCTCTTTAACATCACTCCGTCCTTGTCTACGGTATTTAAGAATATTCAGTCTAGCTTCCAGAAGGTTCTGGGCTTCCTTCTATTTCGTGTATCAGTCCGTCTTTGTCTAACACCTAGAAAGGATAGTCTAGAATGTTCCTTTATCAAAAAAAATATATATATAACGGGGTATAACCAGTCCCGAAAGCGGGAATACAGATTTCCTGAGAACTGTACTACGCTGGCTCTGAAACAGCCTGAAAATGCCATCAATACAATCAACGCAATGGCCATTTTAGGCATCTGAAAACGAGGGTATGGAACGACTTTATGTAAATTTCAATTTTCTAGTATGTGATAGCCCATCTTGAAGCGATCTTAAACCACATTTCAGCTGACTGTAAACTTCTCTAACTTGTTACTAAAATCGAGAAAACATTTCGTTCAACCCATCTTCGTAACAATATAACAAACTTATATTCATAATTAACAATAAAAGGAGTTACAAACTGACCTGCATGACATGCATTAATTTAACATCTTTAATACATGTTGATTAATATTACAGGAAAAGAACATTTCTCCGAACAATCTTCAAATGTTGTTTTTCCAAACTATAAGTATTAAAGAATGCACTCAACGACTGGCAAGCATTCGTTCTAAGAAATTTTTGCCCATCGATAATGGACAAATCTGTGCTAAGCGCCCGAACCACAAAGGCACATGCCAAGTAAGTAAAGTAACAATAAAACTGTGATGAAAAATGACTCGGTGGACATGACAGCTACTCCATGGAGACCTTTAGCCGAGTCGTTTTAGAAACCTTGCTCTGTGTGATCTGGTCTGGCGCCTTCTTATTTCTCAAAGTATTCTCACACATATTATTTCTCTAACATGTTTTCATAGGTATCTGATTGCCCTCCTTGTAACATGAGAGCTACATTGAAATAAATCAAATTTGAATTTTAAATATATTCTTTTGAGATAATATTTTAATTTCAACGTATTTCAAAAATATGTTGATAGGAAATTTCTGATGTCAAAAGAGCGAGAATTGGGATTTTTTAAATCCGAAAATCAGTGACGTGTACAATCTACTTGTTTGATTTATACTTTAATTGTTATTTGATTTTTCTTACAGGGTGATTCCGGTGGGCCCCTCGTTATTAAATAAGGTGGAAATCTTCTTCAAATAGGAGTCGTGTCCTGGGGAATCCCTTGTGGCTTAAACTATCCTGATGTATTTGCTTCAGTCTTTGGCAACTACAATTGGATACAGAGCAAAATTAAGTGATTAAATTGATAAATATTCAATATTGTAACATCTGCTCTAAATATAATCAGTTGAAAAAATGTATATCTCAAAATTACATTCAACCCCTTATTTAAAAAATCGATTTAAAAACGTAGACGTACTTCGCACTGGAGCACCTATGAGCCGTAAATAGTAATAGTAGCCCAGGAAATTCTTTTTGACTTGTCCAGCCTTGGCAGGTTGAAATTTTAAGTCTAAATTAAAAATGGCCACCAAATTATTATAAAAACCAACACAATATATTATAAATACAATATACCTTATCAATTTGTACGTACTCATATTTTAAATTGACGAAACTTAACTCGTACAACTTACCACAGAGCATTGATTCAATATGTATATAATATTAATCATAAATAATAATACGGAAGCACTGATTTTACCAGTCTTCTAATGGAATTTGAAACTATATCTAGTGACAAGTGCAAGCAAAACAAGGCCAGAGGATATCGATTCGTGACGGAAGAGACCGCTCGGAGCATCCAAATAATGAATGCAAATTAAATAAATCAAAAAAGGTTTTACTTCAATAAATTGTTACTTGTTGTATCAACGAAAACGTGGAATTTAAATAAATCGACGCTAACGATACAAATAAAAAACAAATATGAAAGCGCGTTTAGAAGGAAGGTTTCTTAATTTTGCGAGTTTGCCTATTGATGCAGTGATGATCAAACCCCTTCACACCTCACCACCACCAGTCGCCTGAGGACTAGGTCATATGTATACGATACCATAACGAGAATATTATACATATATTATATATCTAATTTAATATATTTTTTTTAACAGTGGTTGCCTGGTAGAGATCGCTCGTAAGCGATAAGGCCGCCAGTTGCCTTACTTTTTATTTAATTTTGTAAATTTTATTATGTTTTTACAACGAAGTATAATTAAATAAAAATAAATTAACTAATATTAGGTCTGAACAGGATAAGAAACAGCTATATTACTGTTCGTGGCATTTACTACTTGGCGTGGCACTACAATAGTTTTTTATCATATTATTCGGCTGGGAAGAATGTGATAAATAAAGACTGTATACTGTATAGCATAGACGACTGAACATTCTTTCATCATTATAACCGTGGATTTAAGAGAATACTAAAACAGATTTATATAAGCTTGATTCTCCAATGCACATGCATGAAATCAAATACAAAACGGACCTATTTACCTAAAACATAATAAAAATTTATTGCAAGAATTACAAAAACGTGTAAGGTGGTACAATCGTAAGTTCGCATATTCTGTCACACACAATGGCGCGCAATTTTGTCTTTAAAGGAATTTAACATTTTACATTATTAGCCATATGAATTGGTCAGTTCTTATATTATTTGTATCGTTCATATCATATCGTACCTTATATTTATTGAATAATACTTTTTTTCCAAAAGGAATACAGCAAGTCGCTTTTTAAAGACTAGTCGAAAGATCTTTTGATTCTTTTGGTAAATTATTGTAAACCTTGAATGCCATACAAAAGGTGTTTTTCAGATTAATTTTTGGCACAGCCAATTTCTCCCCATGTCTACTTCGACAGAGTACTATGCTATGTTTCTTATTGCCATATATTTTAGAACTGTTCAAATCAATTACTTTAGATACGCCATATATAATTCTAAGCTCAGTATAGATTACTAGAATCACGATTTTATTCATAATAATGAATGGAGGAATAAAGAAAAACACACATATGATTCGTTTATTGATAATACACGAAAATTAAAATCAGATAATTTTGGTTTACATAATAAACGTTCACTGGGAATTAATTTTAAGTGTGATCTTGGTACGAGGCTATGTTCGCGATAAATTAAGTTTATACAGCGACTAGAGGAATATTGGACGTTGACATATTGAATGACGTTCAGTTTCGTGGTCATTTGGAAGGGAAGGCTAAATTAGCCTCCAAAAAGCTTGGTATGCTCAGCAAGGCGGTACTTCACTCCGGGCCACTGCTAGCAACTGTATAAAGCGCAAATTCGGCTCCACATGGAGTACTGTTCTCACCTCTGGGCGGTAGCTCCCCAGTACCAGCTCCTTCCGTTTGACCGTATTCAATGAAGAGCGATTGGAATCGTCGACGTCCAATCATGAGATGAGAGCGTTGAGATGTGGGGTCTCTCTGCATCTTCTACCGCATTTACCATGGAGAGTGTTCAGAGGAGTTGTTGTACAACTTTCATAAGTATATTTCATGATATAAAGGCCAAATGAATGAACTAGCTTTCGATAACATTCGTTAATGATTAATTGAATACACGTGTGAATCCGTGGCTTATTATAGTATCAAGAATGCAAATAACGTGTGTGTTCAAGGGGGAAGGTGATTAAATTATTAAAGGCAAGGTGCCATATTAGCGAGTATTTAGACCATAAGATAACAATTATAAATAACTCAACTTATTATTATGACATTATTAAAATTATTAAGACATTTGCATGCCCGATTGTGTGGGTTTTTATAATTAATCGATCTAATTGTACCACTTTCTTTGCAAATAAACGATTTATTTATTTATTATTATTTTACGTTTTATTTAAATCTTAGTTATAGACACGCAATTAAACTCTTTGAATTAATATATTCGATGAAATAAACTAACTAGAAAATAAATATAACGACACATTCTATATATACCGCCATCGATACAAAAAAGGGATTTATACATATAATACTTATGGGGTAAAACCATTTAAGATTAAAAGCCGCCAACATCAAACATAAAAAGTTAAAAGGGTTAATTAGTATATAATTTACGGAGTTTGCTATAGCGATAAATACCATAAATCGTAATTAATACTTGAACAAATTACATATAAGTTTAAACATTATTATTGTCATATAAAAAGAGCCAATACCAATGGACAATATAAAAGACAATTATCACAATGTCAACCCACAAATAACAGTTCGGTGGCCATTGATACACAATTATAACATAAAATAATAAGCCCTGAGTACATACCTCGTTTTGATCAATTCTTAACATGAAGAAAGTCACACAATTGTCCGTCGTATGGATAAAGATAAAATTATTTAGGGAATAATAAGAGAGAGAAAAAATATGTATTTCGATCATTCATTATCATTATATGTATTCCTTGTTTGATATATTATATTAACATAGTTGATAAAGTTTTTAAAATATAGTTTTAAATTGAGTCATACTCTTGTCTTGTACGGGGTGAGTACAATAATTTGGCTCATTGTTTATTTATGAAGAGCTGTGGCTTCAGCGTGTGACTCACATCTCTGAGGTCGTAGGTTCGATCCCCGGCTGTGCACCAATGGATTTTCTTTCTATGTGCACATTTAAAATTCGCTCGAACGGTGAAAGATCGTGAGGAAACCTGCTTGCCTTAGACCCAAAAAGTCGACGCCGTGTGTCAGGCACAGAAGGCTGTTGTTTGCCCGATAGATTGAAAAATGATCATGAAACATATACCCCAGTCTGAGGTCTGAGGCCCAGATCAAAAAAGGTTGTAGTGCCACTGAGGTTTTTAATTTTTGTTTTTATTTATTGTCTATATATATAAAAATGAATCCCTATTTCCCATGGTCACGGCATCACGCGTGAACGGCTAGACCGATCGTCAATTCTTTTTTTGAATCGAAGTTCCTTATTGCGCGTTGCGAAATGGGTGTAGACGGAAAAAAAAAGACCAAAAGTTGTAACGACACTTTTTGCTATAGTTGTAAGCCGTGCGCTCTCTCTCTCTCTCTCATAGAAAGCAAGCTAGTTATTTTCGTTTCGTCTTTTTACTTCGCATTGAACAGTGTGGTGTCGCGAAGATTATTTTTGTTGAGTATATACAGGTTTTTTGTACATATAACTTTAAAAAAAAATATTTTTATTACAATTCCTTCACTTTAATTAATCGAAAGAAACTTCGTTCCATCCGGGTGTCCCTTGACACCTCTCAAGTTTTTGTAGTGTTTGTTATTGTTAGGAGAAGGTTCTTATGAAAGAAAAAAATAAGAAATTGCGCGGAAAATTAGAAAATTTATGAATACTTAACCACATTAAGTAATGCTGACTTTTGTTACGATAGCAATTTTTTTTTCAGTGCATATCGCTTTTACTCTTCAAACTTTTTTCATGTAACGTTAAGCGTTTGACATAACATTGACAGAATGCGTGCTGATAATATCGTCAATGAGGATATAAGAAAAATTAATATCGCTTAAAACAAATGCTTCGATTGGAGCATATAATTATTTTATATATCTATTGAAAAAATACATATATAAAATAATTATATTAATAAAATACATCTGTTCCCGTGTCGGAATACCAACAAAACAAACAAAGAATGTTGTATATCATAAATCATTATTTTTTTAGTTAATTATACCAATTCGAAATCAATATTCATTGTTAAGACAGGACAACGTCTGTCGGGTCGGCTAGTGCCTAAATAATTATTCGAGACAATGTTAACTAAGGTTCTTGAAACATTCAAGCGTGTCCTTTATTGAGGTCACGTTTTGTTGTATTGGATTAGTACATACAATAACAATTATTCAAGTGGCTACGATTGTCAGATTATACAGTAGCTGACCCTTCAGACAATAGGCTGCGTTGTACGTCACTCCACAGGGCTTATAGCTAACATAGATCTGGAGTGGTTGTTTGAGGAGATGATAAATGTTAATTTTCTGTGGTATAAAATAATAATAAAGATTTGTAACGTGTATTTTTCTAATAATATGTAATGCTTCTTATTTTTTGCTTAATATACTTATAGCATCTGTCACAAGAGATAGGGCATTTCAAGTGAAAAGAACAGTTTTTTTTAATATCAAATTATTATTTTTTTTTAAATCAAGTTTTTATATTGATTTTTTATTGACCAACCGAAGGCGGTTTATTACATAGATTTTTAGTTATTTTTCACGCCCTTGATCTTGTAGTTTAAATACTCAACCCATTTAAATCAATCCCTTGCAAACCAAACAAATATTTCTTCACATAAACGCAACATCTTACCTATAAGATAAACATCTCTATCATTTAAAATTATTCCCTTCCGACAACAATTTTCTAACATTATAAATGAATATATATGTTTTAAAGATATTTGTTAACATATTCAAAATACATAATAATATACTAAGAAGGGGTTTATATGTTGTTTAACCACTCCATCTTGAGTGGGGTATTTTGGTTTATAACAAGTGTCGACCCGATTGATAACAAGAAAACCACTATATAAGGCCAATAATTTATTAAATCATTATTATCATTATACATTTTGAAATATTACTACGATGTTCCTAAAACTACAAATTTTATTTCTTACGTATTGTGCAGTGCAAGGCAAGTTCTGATTTGAGAGTTTAAAAAATCCTGGATTGTGATTTATTATTAATACCATTATTTTCTGACGCATATTAATTGCTCGAATAAAATTAATACATTAAAATATTTAAAGGGGTTCAAGTATAAAAAAAATAGGCTTATGTGGGAGTGTAGCGATTGATAGTAAATCACCCTATTTGTATATACATTAGCTATTGGCATTTGTTTAACAAAGCTCAGATATTTAGAATAAAGGTTTAATATAAAATAGGTGATTGTTTTGACTGCGTGTTCTGGCAATGACATGGGAAGTATTGATCTTGCTTAAGATGGCGTAAACCTATTTTACTGTGCCATTCCCTAACAAAATGTTCATTAATTAAGCAATAGTCAAAATGTCATCACTAATAACGGTTTAATTTACAGGTGCAAATCTTCGGTTTTACCCTGAACAAATAACTAGAATTGTTGGAGGTAAAGATGCACCTGATGGTGGAATACCATATCAGGTTTCGTTGAGGAGTATATATGGGTCACATTTTTGTGGAGGCTCAATTTTAGATGAAAGGTGGATTTTGACAGCTGCTCACTGTACTGTTGGGTATGGTACTCTTTTTTTCTTATTATATTAATCTACTGTACTGTCTGTCTGTACTGTTCTCCACTAACAATTATAACTAGTCAAATTTCTTAATTTTGTCACTCACTGACTCATCGATCATCAAAACTCTAAGACACATAGAAATTTAGAATACAATAAGTGATTAGTGTATAACTCAAGGAAACACTAAAAAAATGGTTATTGCCAAGTCGATGTACGTATATAAAAAACATATAAGATTTGTAATATTGGTTCGATTTGTAACGTGTAACGTTAGCTAATTACGTAAATAAATTAACCGATTTGGATTACATGGATCTCACAACTTTTTACGGGAGAAGAATTGTAATGGTTGCAGCTCTTTACAAACGTTGTGTAAAACAAAAAACTTTTCGATTAAAAAGAGTGGCGGAGAGTTTATTGCCAGTTCTTCTCTTCCGTTCTACGCCCTTGATTTAAGAACTGTAAATGTAAGATTAGAAGCATTTAATGTATATTTATTTTTTGACATAAGTGTGCATTGTGTTACCTATATGAATAAATGATTTTGACTTTTACTTTGAGTTGCAAGACTTTTTTTCAAGTTATGTTTTTGATGGCAATGATTTTTATTGTATAATTATTTTTATAAACTCACATAAGTAGAATAAATACGTATGTAAGTATACAGAATAAAAAACAAGATACTCTCGTAATATTGTGATTCTTGCCTTACATTAGTCGTGTGCTATATGTATACATATTTAAAAGTATATAAACCTGATCGTAAACACACAAGTGAGATGACTTAATTATAAACAATGATATCTGTATTGAATTGAATAATTCTAAAGAAAACTGTTAATTTTCAGTTCATCAACACGCAGCGTGAAAGTTGTGGTCGGTACAAACAGTCTTGTCGATGGTGGAGAGAAATACTCGGTGGACAAAATTATTGTCCACGAAGGCTATGATGGTGGTTTGATCTTCAACGACATTAGTCTCGTAAAGGTCACGAAGGATATCGTGTTCGGTGACAGAGTAAAGCCTATATCACTTCCGGAATTGAATACAAACGCTGACGCAGAACTACTTTTAACGGGATGGGGAAGATTATCTGTAAGTGTAACATAAAGTGGGTGTGAGCCGTTTTGGCCTAGTGGCTTCAGCGTGCGACTCTCATCCCTGAGGTCGTAGGTTTGATCCCCGGCTGTGCACTAATAGACTTTCTCTCTATGTGCACATTTAACATTCGCTCGAACATACTGAGGAAACCGGCTTGCCTTAGACCCAAGTCGACGGAGTGTGTCAGGCATAGGAGGCTGGAGCATCGAATTTTAATAAACATCTAACTAAGAGTACGTAGCATTTAATCGTTTGTGATATTGCCTTGACCCAGGTACTACTAAAATATTTATTCGTTTAATGGGAACGAATCAGTTGTACATACATAACAATAATAAAAAAATATACAATAATGATAATATTTATGGACAGAATTTGTCTCGTCGGAGATTTCGCTAAGTTACCCTATTCCTTTCGACGCTTAGATGTGAAAATATTTAATTTTTATTTATATGCTCAACAGTATTCCTACAGCTCCTCACTAAACAATATTCAAACAATTACATTGTAAACAAAAGCCAAAAACGGAATACACATTCAAACATAAACAAAGCACAGTTTCACCTATATATATACAAAAAATATAACAAAGTATATATAAGGTAACAGTTTTGAATACCATCACTTTTTTGCGATCATTTAGGAGTCTCGGAGGCCTTCATTGGACACCTCAAGTGTTTTGCTCCGGAGCGTCAAAAATTTTATAAAGATTTATAAAGTAAACTTTGCACTGTAAAACTAAACCGCTAGTCTAGCATAAACCACATTCAAAATGGCCGAAAGTTTAAAAATTAATAGGGATGTGAAAAAATCGATTTTTTTAAAAGTGAAAATCGATTTTTGTATTCGATTTTAATATTAAAAATAATTGAAAATTGGCGACCAAATATTCATATACTAACTCTAACCTAACCAACAAAATTTTTTTGTGGACAGCTCCGACTAAATAGTAATTGTTTATTCAGCCTCGCTTTGTGGTGCTTCGGCGACAAATATTCATATACTAACTCTAACCTAACCAATCTAAATAAATTTTTTGTGGACAGCTCCGACAAAAGTAATTGTTTATCGCCTGGTGGGTCCTGGTGCCTCGGCACCAAATATTCATATACTAACTCTAACCTAACCAATCTAAATAATATTTTTTTGTGACAGCTCCGATCTAAATAGTAATTGTTTATTCAAGCCGGGTTGGTCGCTTCGGCGACCAAATATTCATATACTAACTCTAACCTAACCAATCTAATAATATTTTTTTAAGCTCCGGTACGGGAAATGCAGCCCTCCACCCTTGCGTACCAAAGCACAGGCATTATGAAAGCTGTAGCGGTGAGGCTGGTCGCCGAAGGCGACCAAAGGGGGGGAGGCTTACAGCGGGTGGGGGCTGCTTCCTCCGCGCCTCCGATTATTTATATACACTCTAGGGGTAAGACAGACAAGACCACGTGGATAGTGGGGTGCTCTGATTCGGTTTTGGGTATTTTTGGATATTAAAGTAAACCTTTATTTAGTAAAAATTAAATAATATAGAAAGTTGCAAACAATGAAATAAAGACTAATTAGAAAAAGACAGAGGTATCGATAATTTCAAAAAAATTCGAACCCTAATTCACACGAATTAGGTTAATTTCAATGTTGATTATTCTATAACTTTAAATTTCAAAAATGAGGAAATAATCGAAAATAAATAAAACGATATTAACATCGATAATTAAAACACGATTTTTTTAAGTGAACGTCACATACTTAAACCAATAGAAAAGAGAAAATGGCGTTTTACAAATTTTAATACATTACACAAAACTTTAAATTTTTTATAAAAATATTTAGACGCTGAGCAAAACTCACTTGGAGGTTTCCATGAAGGTCCCGAACTCCTAGATAATTGTATCGCGTGGGTGGAACCACCCATTTTAATAATAATAATTATAATAAACTCTAAGATTCATTGATAATATATATTTAATATAAAGGAAGAATAACAAATGTTTAAATAATGTTTATTTGTTTGCATTGAATACACTCCAGAACTACTGGAATTGGATTCTTTCACCATTAGAATCTTACATTGTCTCTGAGGAACATTGGCTGTATGGTATATAATATTATGAATCAATGATTTTCAGTATCCAGGTAATTTGCCCGATGCTCTACAAATGATTAATGTAACAGCCTTGAGTGTGGATGAATGCCAGAGCCTATTTAGTGGGATTAATCCTGTATTTGATTCCCAAATTTGCTCTCTAACAAAAGCGGGAGAAGGAGCGTGTCACGTAAGTATTTTAATATTCTGAAGACAAAGAACTAGTACTTTCATAAAATCGTTATTATTTATTTAACCCCGGCTAAAACTAAAGTATTGGGATACCTATAAAAAAATTAACCACGGTCACTTAATCGAGAGTTTCGCAACTTATCCAACCTGTAATGTATTTGTCTACTCCTAACGTTTTACCAAAACTAAACTAAGATTTGTTGCCATATCATTAAGTAGCATAGACTAAAAACACCATATAGATAAAATTATAAATATATAAGCTTATAATTATTGTTCGGAATTATAATAGTAGACATAAATTTAAAAATAAGTATAAAACGTAGTTTCCCCGAATATTTCTCGCATCAATAAAAAATAATTTGAATAATCGCCTGACAGCTCTTATTGTATTCAGAGGATTATACAATTCACAATAGCATTTGTAAGCAGCCTGCACAGAGATAACAGGATTATAATCCTATAGGATACGTATAAGGATTAAATAAAGTGTTAATTGTTAGAAAGAGAAATACAGGGTTGAATATATATATTGAAAAAATAAAACATGGTAAAAATTCCTTTGCATCCAAGCCTTTTTAACACACAATTGAAAAGGGTACCAAATCGCCATTTCCATTTCTCTAAAACCTCTGATTTGAAGCAACATGTCAGTCCTGCGCCTGTTCTCACAATGCTCTGGTAATGTCCAAAATGAACTTTTTAATTCTTTAGTTTGATGTGCTACTATGTAATTGTAAACTTCATTTATTTTATAACAGAACTACGCCATAACTTTTGCACCGTTTTAACTAAAGTATTCATTTGTCTTTTTTCATCACACATTCATTTGACAGAAAGAGGCGAAAGAGTACTTCAGAACTACCACTTAAAGAGTAATACCTAAAGGATTGCAGTAAGACTGATTTAGTTTAGAAACCAAGCTTGCGACTAAAGCAATATGGATATTGAGAGAACTAAATTGATCTTGCATACAAAATCTACGGGATTGGTATCACTGTCCATATTGGAATTTATAGAGTACGGGTGCAGTTCTCCTACTCCTTTCAAATCATGTGCTTGTTCTATGTGTCTTGCAATAAGCAAGTTTTATTCAGTTGACATCTTTCAGGGTGATTCTGGAGGTCCTCTGGTTGAGGATGATCGGGTCGTGGGCATCGTCTCCTGGGGCATGCCATGTGCCAGGGGATACCCTGATGTCTACACTAGGGTTTACTCTTTCCTTGAATGGATACAGGCCAATATAAATGATGAAGAAAATGAGAAGTCAAAGACAAAATAACCAGTCACATCAAATTATTGTACTGTGTGTTTTAAATACAATATAAATGATGATGTAAATGTGGTGTATTTATTTTTATTAATTTAATACTGATAAACCTGAACTTACATGAAAGGAAGTCAGGGCGACGTTTCGTTCAGTAGTCTACCGATACTCTCATTTTGCAACATCAAGTTATAAAGTGGCAGATCTGAGACAGCTGGTTTCCTTATTTTCCTTCACCAAGGTAATGTGATTCTGGTACAGCGCACCACCTCAGTGCTGAGCCTGTCCAATAAATTATTTCAGAAATTGTATGATAAATGTAAGAAAATATTAGACGTTAAAAACAATTCTGACCACTTAATGTGCACGGAAAGGAAGCAAATGGAATCTACCTTATATTACCTGATAATTGGAGTCGGTCTTGTAAGTGTTAATATCATCCAGTGATGCTATCAAAAAAAATTGCCAAAAAAGGGCTCACAGATACCTAAAAAGAATGAGATGGAAATATAAATGTGTTTAATTGTATAAGTATCTGAAATAAAAGGCTATTATTATTATTAAAGTAATTGAACTACGTTCTATATATTATAGTCAATATGCATTAGGCTAAGGGATTTTTATAAGGGATTTGTAGGCACGACCGTGGGTAGTCTAACTGAAAATTCATCATGTAACTTCAATCAAATTATGTGTAACTTTAATTATGTCCATCAGTAATATTTTAATGCAAAAAAAGTTGGCAATATTTTTCATGTCATGTCATAAATCCTTTATCTTAGCCGCCAGGATGCCAAAGCAGCAGTGATTTTCTTCAACTCCTGAACAGCCTGAGTCGCCCTGAAAAGAAATATATATCTACTGTTTGTGAAATATTTGTGGGAGACAGACACAATCGTAAACGCTTTTGCTCTTCAGTCAATTTAGATGAATTACTGTAATATACATTTAGATATTTTTAACTACTTATAACAACAATGTTTAAATTATCGAATAGGAAAAAAATCATTGGATACGCATTACCTTCTTTTATTTTTCCTTAAAAAATAGATTTTGCTTTTATGACTGTTCCCCGGGGCCAGCAATATTATCGAACATGTTTTTTTTTAATATATCATATAACATCGAAATACAAAAGTATCTGAAATAGTTTTTATTAAATATTACATTTAAGTTTATCCTTTTTTAAAGTTTATATGTTTTTTTTACAATCAACAATTTATTATACAGAAATACAAACGTTACACAATTTAAACAGAGATAACCATTGTATTACAGCTATTTGCTGTAGTCCAGAACAAGGACCAGTCTCAATGCTTACCATTCAGTCAATTATACCAGCATAGTTAATCATTGTTAAGAAGAGATATTAAGCCTAGACCACAAATTTATTTTGAATACCATAGACAACTGTGATTTTTATATGAAAAATCATTACCATTTTAATGAGTTACATTAAGTATATTATATAGTATATTTTATTTATATATCTAAAAAAAATGTTATTATTATTATTGTATTAATATTGAAATTATTAATTAGACATTAATCTTCTATATATTTAAATTAATTTTTATTTGACATCATGCCAGTTTAAAAACAATATAATGTTTTATGTTTAATTAAACTGACCTGCCCGTCATACTATCAGATTATTGAGGGTGCCCGTCATAATATATCAGATTATTGAGTAATAATAAGTACCTAAACTTAACATGTACCAGTGATGATATTACATACATACAATGTGTACTTGTGTAACAGAAGGATGTTTTAATCCAACAATAAATATAAAAACATATATCATTTATTATCAATTGTTGATAGTCGAAACCAATAATTTGAAAATGTCTGCACAGTTGTCTTTCTGTATCCAGGGGCCTTGTTATTGATACAAATGTGATATTCATCTTCACTGGCAATGAAACCAGGTACTCTGAAATTATTATATATATATTTTTAGTATAAGAAGTACCTACTTACAAAAGTATTTAACAAAAAATATGAAACTTAAGCAAGGACTTTTTTATGAATTTTTCTCGTTCTATATCTCCAGGAGGCATAGGCATATTATTATGATCAAGAATGGAACGAAAAATTGGTTTTGAGATAAAAACGATACTTTTATTTTTTACCTTAGTTCGTTTAACTATTAGAGATAAGGTTAATTTATATTCAAGGTTTCATCAAAACCAATTAATTTCTTTAGCATTCGAAAACAGCCGATGTACAACCAAATGGCTGATTCGTGCCTACATTCTTTGCCATCTTTATATATTTTTGTTGGTGTTAACATCGTTAATTTCTTGAAATAGTGGTTTCTAATATAACAACTGGAAATGGGCCTTCTGTAACAACAACAAAACTCTATAAGTAAACCACTCCAAGGCCCTCGAAACTGTTAATAGCAGTATAATAATTATAGTATCTTATTTTTTTAATACTTAAGTTTTAATTTAAGTAATGAGAAGTTGATGGTCCCTAGTGGGAGTGCCATGCTGTTGCCTTCGGGCTTCAGCCAAATGGGCAGGCACGACCGGGGCAGTACGTCTGTCTCTTAGAAAACCGGCGTGAAGTGATGCAATAGGTTGGCCTTATTGTACTCGCGTTTCGTACGGAAGGGAACGGTAGGGAAACTCGCGGAGCACAACCACACTGCGAAGGAGAAGACCGACCTTTTGGGCTGTCTCTTCGCGTCCAACTCGACTTTGGATGACCAAGGAAGATCACCACCGACCATTTCGCGGTGTGATTCTTCGATGCCGGAAATCACATTCCGGCATAGTGCTGTCCGCAAAGCACTATCTTCCTTGGACATTCATAAGTCGAGCGGGCCGGATGGTATCCCCCAATTGTGCTGCGTACTTGTGCTCCTGAGTTGGCTCCGGTCTTAACGCGCCTTTTCCGGTACCTGTACTCGCTTGGCACTGTCCTGAAGTGCTGTAAAACCGCTTCGATACATCCGATCCCTAAAAAAGGCGATCGCTCTGATCCGTCCAACTATCGCCCAATAGCCATAACCTCCTTGTTCTCCAAAATAATGGAAACCATTATTAATTGCCAGCTCTTGTGGTATCTAGAGGGCCACCAGTTGATTAGCGATTCTCAGTACGGCTTTCGTCGTGGTCGCTCAGCTGGTGACCTCCTTGCATACCTTACCCATAGGTGGGCAGAGGCAATTGAGTCCAAGGGGGAGGCGCTTGCGGTAAGTTTGGACATAGCGAAAGCCTTCGATCGGGTGTGGCACAGAGCACTGTTCTCGAAGCTTCCAGCCTATGGGCTTCCCGAGAAATTATGCGAATGGATCTCCAGCTTTCTGGCCGATCGGAGCATCAAGGTCGTCATCGACGGAGCATGTTCCGACCTTAAACCTGTGAACGCTGGGGTCCCACAAGACTGTGTTCTATCCCCGACCCTATTCTTTTGCATATAAAGTTTAATTGTATATGTCGGCGTTTGAACGCCATAATTATTGTGTCCAGACTCCACGATGAATTGTTGAAGATAATGACGTCAGCAATACTGTCGTCATAAATTAGTTTGTTGGCACCAGCCATTTACTTTCGACATTAAAGTCCACTTTTAAAGGCTTCTGATTGGTTCGGCCGCTCAACAGAACTAAGCGCCGCACCCACCAGTTCCCATATATATAGCAACCAGAATTTGTGATAAACAAGTTTCGTAACATTTCGTGTACTCGTTCCACGACCGAACCCGAATCGACCACAGAGTCAAACGGCAGTCATAGAAACGAGTGTCAAAGATTAATATTTATTATCAATAGGTTTAAAATGTTTAAAGTAATATGATAAACTCCTTTTAACAATAATAATAATAAATGACTATGGAGTCATTATTATTATTAACCATTGAATAGTCGTTAATTTATAGATCTAGCAACATTAACAAATTAAATAAACCATTCGTATTAACGGCCTCGAACCAATTCGACTTTGACATTATTCAATGACAATGACAGCTGACACTAACACAATTTCTTTAATATTTATAATAAAGACTACAGACTATCAAATAGTCGTTAATTTGCAGATCCATTAATAATGGTAAATAAAATAAACCATATAACGGTTTTGAACTAATTTTACCCCGATATTACCAAATGTTGATGAATGACAATAGCAGCTGATCAACACCATTCCTTAAACATAAATAATAAATGCTATGAATATACCACAGACTATCAATCCTTAATATTATTTATTATTATCTTGAATATATTTATTTACTCGAATTAAATATCAATCTTTATATTTATGTAACAAAATAATCATTATATATGAGTTTGCGCCCATATATAAATATATAATAGAAGCAAATAAATACTTACTTGAAATAAATACCAATCTTTATGTGTTTGTAAAAATATAATCATTATATATGAATTTGCGCCCACACGGCCATACTGACTCCAGCGCGTCCCTTGCGCTGTTTTAGATTGCTACAACTTTAAACAAGGCATCACTCATTACGAGATCTAGCCAACACATAAGGCATCACTGATTTCGAGATCTAGCCAACACATAAGGCATCACTCATTTCGAGATCTAGCCAACACATAAGGCATCACTCATTTCGAGATCTAGCCAACACATAAGGCATCACTCATTTCGAGATCTAGCCAACACATAAGGCATCACTCATTTCGAGATCTAGCCAACACATAAGGCATCACTCATTTCGAGATCTAGCCAACACATAAGGCATCACTGATTTCGAGATCTACCCGCTCACTCATTTCGAGATCTAGCCAACACATAAGGCATCACTCATTTCGAGATCTAGCCAACCAGACCAGGATCAAGGATACGCATGGTGGCCAGCCAGCGTTTTAGGAAGGATGTTTTGGATAGGCAAAATATAATATTTTGTATAAACGCATCAATGCGCATACATAAAATAAACATCATCTATCGTCATGAAAGTTATAAAAAATATAATGCAATTACCTAGGTCCAACAACGTCAGGTTATCAGGAGGCAGAAGCCTCCTCATGTAAATCGGTCTCTGACGAATCTTCCGCCCATACGGTCAATTCGACTGAACTGGTAACTTACAATGACGTTCAAAGAATTGCCTCAATTGGTAATTCAGCCAACAATAACAAATCCGCCTCGGCCTGCTGACAACTAGGTTAAGGATTATGAAACAGTTCTTCTTATAAGCTGTACAAATGACAGAATATAAGAATATACGGGAAACCGATCTCTCTTTAAAAAATAAATAAAAATTAACACCTACGGTAAAATGGTATCACAAAAACCATGATATTTGTCGTCACACTGTTACGACTTTAGGGGTTTAAATCAAATTACATTCCTGATGTTCAACAAATCAACGTCAAAAATATTAGAAGGTTCAATTTTAAATTTATATTTACAACTGTGATTCAAATCTCACTTACCCATCAATCCTTCATTATGATGATCGATATAAAATGCTCGCTTAGGTTTGTAGTAATGAGTAATACCCAACAAAATAGAATAAGACCGAAAAGTGGAAAGAAAGAAATCGCAACGTACGGTAGACAAACATCACCCTATTTTGATGTTTAGAATGTAACTGAGCTGAAGAGAAAGCATTTCGTATTGAGTATTAATACAAAACTTATATTTGTCATTACACTATTATGACTAAATCAAATTAAATTTTATGTCTGAACAGTAAACGTCTAAAAATATTGGATGGTTCAAATTTATATTGACAACTTTGATTTGAATCTTACTTCGCCATATCTGTGATCATCGCATCCATTACCTCGGCGTCGGTAGCTACTGCTCGGATCCTTTGAAAAAGCGTCCATACCGTTGTAGCGTACTCTGCGTAGCAGCTCGCTTGTAGTTGCACCATTTCTGCACGTCATTCACATACCGAAACACGTTGCCAAACGTATGGATAAGCTCCTTCTTCACTTGTTCTCTTGGTTGAATGCAACAACCAGCTGTCGGCCCATGTTTTAACTCGTCCTCGTAACTACAGCATGGCCTTCATTCGAGATTCATGTGGAAGTACCATCCGTTTCGTGATATTTTCGTCCACGTTGGCGCAACAATCCCAGTTCTCGTTGCAGCAGTCTTAATGGAGTCTTAATGGAGGTCAAGAGACCCATTGCTTGTTACATAACGAAGGTTGTGCCATTCGAAGATTCAGAAGTCTCTTGGGGCTGTTATCCCACCGCTGCTGTCGGCGTTTGAACGCCATAATTATTGTGTCCAGACTCCACGATGAATTGTTGAAGATAATGACGTCAGCAATACTGTCGTCATAAATTAGTTTGTTGGCACCAGCCATTTACTTTCGACATTAAAGTCCACTTTTAAAGGCTTCTGATTGGTTCGGCCGCTCAACAGAACTAAGCGCCGCACCCACCAGTTCCCATATATATAGCAACCAGAATTTGTGATAAACAAGTTTCGTAACATTTCGTGTACTCGTTCCACGACCGAACCCGAATCGACCACAGAGTCAAACGGCAGTCATAGAAACGAGTGTCAAAGATTAATATTTATTATCAATAGGTTTAAAATGTTTAAAGTAATATGATAAACTCCTTTTAACAATAATAATAATAAATGACTATGGAGTCATTATTATTATTAACCATTGAATAGTCGTTAATTTATAGATCTAGCAACATTAACAAATTAAATAAACCATTCGTATTAACGGCCTCGAACCAATTCGACTTTGACATTATTCAATGACAATGACAGCTGACACTAACACAATTTCTTTAATATTTATAATAAAGACTACAGACTATCAAATAGTCGTTAATTTGCAGATCCATTAATAATGGTAAATAAAATAAACCATATAACGGTTTTGAACTAATTTTACCCCGATATTACCAAATGTTGATGAATGACAATAGCAGCTGATCAACACCATTCCTTAAACATAAATAATAAATGCTATGAATATACCACAGACTATCAATCCTTAATATTATTTATTATTATCTTGAATATATTGTTATTTACTCGAATTAAATATCAATCTTTATATTTATGTAACAAAATAATCATTATATATGAGTTTGCGCCCATATATAAATATATAATAGAAGCAAATAAATACTTACTTGAAATAAATACCAATCTTTATGTGTTTGTAAAAATATAATCATTATATATGAATTTGCGCCCACATATACAATGTTGTTTGGAATAAGAGGACCAACAGTTTTGGTATCACAACTCCGTACATTCACATCGCCACTGTCATCACGCATAAGGCAATCATCTTTTTTCCTTGACTTCTTCCTTTCTTCACCTTAGTTGGCCGATCTTCGAAAGGAAACACCCACTGAGCTGATTGTCTTTTGGTTTCGGGTTCGTAGCAATATATCCATCTTTCATCACCTACGATGTCAAATACAGCATTTGAGTCACCGCCGTTGAACTTATCTAACATTTGGCGACACCAGTCCATGCAAAGGTGTTTCTGGACGTCGGTTAAAAAGTAATCCATCTGATGAATCGTTGATGTTTTTTAAAATTAAGGGGTTAGTTGTATTATTTAAATGTTGCATATAATAAAATATACTTTTACTTCAAATGATATTTATTTTGATCATTTGTTACCATCTTGAATTATTTAATAATTCATTTAATTTTGCTCTGTATCCAATTGTAGTAACCATGGACTGAAGCATATACATCAGGAAAGGATCAAGGAACTCCCCAGGACACGACTCCTATTTGAAGTTTTCTTCTTATCGTCCTGAATAACGAGAGGACCACCAGAATCACCCTGCATGAGAAATAATAACATTTAAAGGTATTGATTTACAAGAATGTATACTTATGCAAACTTATTGATCTTCTTCCCTTTTTAATAACAATAATCCAGAAGTGTGTGATTGTATGTTTTGGCCTCAGATCGAAGAATTTTCTCATTTTTGAAGTGAAACTTCTTTAGACGCATGAGGGTAATTTTTTTACGGATGAAACGCAATAAAATAATATTCGCGACACTAAAATGTGCAGCGTTTTTGTCGGAGAAATGGGAAAGAGCGATTGAGACCGATTGAGAGAAAGTGAGAAGGGCGAATTACCTTACAGAAATTATATTTTTAAAATTAAAATTTCCTAAAGAGTATTTATGAAATATTAGTATTTTATATTTTATGCAAAATAATTTATTGAAATCTCAGATGACGAATTGTAAATTAAAATGCCACGTGTTTTTATTATCGAAGAAATAAATTAAATTTATAATTTGTATTAACTTTCGACACTTAATATTTGAATGACAATCAAATTCATTAAATTCCTAACATATCTTCCTTTTTCCCTCCCTCTAAGTCTCGGAAATCTAAAGTTTTAGACTTGTATAAATTTGAACAAGACTTAAAAAGTGGTTTGCTAAAGAAGTTTCTCTTCTGACATGTGTACTTTGTACGCACGCACTTTTTTTTATAGGTGTGTAGGTGATCAGTCTTTTTTTCCATCAGGATAAGAAATCATGATTCCCTCACGATGTTTTAACTTCACCGTATGAGCAAGTGTTAAATGCGAACATAGAAATTCGGAACGTTTAAAGACATTCACTATCCAGGTACTATGATTGATGTGACCTTATATTTAAAACCATGTTCATTGAAACTATGATCAATTAAAAATGTTGTACCACATTTGATTACATACTTTGCATACACCTTTGTTTTTCGGGCGCTTAACGCAGAGTTGTCCGGCGTCTACGGGCACCAATTTCGGGTAAGGCGAGCGTTTTAATTGTTTAGTGCAGTCGTAGTTGCTTATTGTTTCAAACTCCAACATTTGAAGATTGTTTGTTAGAGTTTTCTTGTCCTGTAATAATAAGCACCATTTTTTTATCAAAGAGAGAATGAAGTGTTTTAATTTTTTTATAAAAAACGCAAATGATGAAATTTAACGATGTTTAAATAATGCAAGCCCTGCTGAATATCATTATTCTTAAAGCCTTGTTGTATGTACAAAAAAATATAAACGATTTTAAAACAAATGGTGACTTTCACCAGTATAATGCGCGAAATAGAACTAATTCGAGTGTACGACCAACCAGGCTCCAGAAGATAAACCACTTCCTTATATGGAAATTGTATTCGTTTTTACAACAAACTCCCAAGGGAAATTAGAGAATTATCGCTAAAAAAATTCAAAGCCCTCATTAAACGTAAATTAATCAATAAAACTTCTTTTTGACGTTCATAAGTGTACTTGTTTACCTATATGAATAAAGATATTTTGAGTTTGAGTTTATAAATTTGACGAATACTGAAACGATCCTAATCCTTGGGATTGATTTGCTCCAGTTCAAACAATTTGTACGACTCAATACTTGCGATAAAAAAGAGTGGCGGAATGTTTCTTGCCAGTTCTTCTTACCCGCTCTACGCCCTTGACTTGCGAACTGGTAGTAAATGAAAATTTACAATTAATTTAACTTCTTTCTGACAATTCATATGTGTACTAAGTACTTGTTTACATACATGAATAAAGATATTTTGAGTTTGAGTTCATCTTCTTTTTTGACGTTCATTAGTGTACTTGTTTACCTATATGAATAAAGATATTTTGAGTTTCAATTTGTTAACAAGCAGGATACGAGGCAACCGCGGATGGTAAAATCCGCTTTGGTAGGCCTTTTCGTACATACCCGGGCCAAATCCAGAAGGTACGAGAGAATTGACAAGTTAAAATTACCCATGAGCCGACGAGCAGGCACGGTGAATGTCATGAAAGTGGATGATGTGACAGATTTACCTCAATACAATAGCAAGTGGAGATCCGCCTACACCTTCAGCAAAGCGGCGTCATAATATATACATAAATAAAAAAAGATTTTTTTTGTGGAAAAGGGGGTAAACCTTTTCATATATTACTGCAAAGCTGATAGTAACTGATAAAATTAACCTACTCTCCAACAGCATGTAAGAAATAAAAAACCCTAATACAACAATCATTATAGCAGTAGATTGTACGAGTATGTGATTTGACATAAAATTAACATTAGTGGTTTTATTTATACAAGAAAACTGATATTTAATTTAAAAACTAATTTGCTGTTATTTTTACAAAAAATACTTTTTCTACTTAAATTAAGGTTTTATGATCCTTTGAAAAAGTAATTACGTATGACGCAATTACTTAATATAATCCAGTACTTGAAGATATAAATAATACATATATTACTTTCATGAGAAATTAGTATTCAAGAGCAATTGTAAATGTAATTATGTATGCATTATTCTAATACGTTCCATTATTTAGCTTTAAATTATGATTAGTAGAACTTAATTTCGACTTGAAGACCGATCGAAGATATTTTGTAGTAGGTATTACTATTAGCAAGAATTTATATTTAACGAAAAGGGAATTTCAATTCCTCCAACATTGAGTGGATATATTTGCGCCTATATTGTAGAGGTGTAATTATTGTCTGTATAGAAATTTCGCAATTTCATTTGTAATATTGTCGACGTATCGTTATTTCGTAATTCCACTTGCACGTGGATGAATCAGTCGCCCTAAAACCGCCATGTAAGTCAGAGGACAATAAAGACATCGAATTCTATTTCGGTTTTCATTTGGTGTACCTCAAACACTAAACTGGTGACCTCCCGACGTGATTCAATGTGAACAAAAAGGAAAATCTAAATAGGGCGGGGCGACTCACAAAAATATGTCGTGCAAGTATACGAAGAAAGCGCCCAACAACGGCGAAATTGCAGCCATGGCTGGAGCACCATTAGCAGCACCAATTCATGCAGCAATTAAGCAAGCTCACGCTGGAAGTTACGGCACTTCGCAGCGAGGTGAAAGATCGAGGACGTTCCAGGAGTCGCAGCCACCAAAGCTACAGGAGCAGGTCCGCGTCGTGCAAAAGAAGGACTCCAGGGAATCCAGAGTGGCTCTGCAGGTTCCATTACCGGTGGAGGAAGAACGCGAGGCGGTGCGAGGAACCTTGCGCCTGGCGTAAAGACAGCAGCGCGGAAAACTAGAACCAGTATATCCGCAGGCGGTGGACGGATGTACTCAGGGACAGGTAGCTATTAATCACCGTTTGTTAGTTAGGGATAGTTTATCTAAGTTTACTTTCCTGATAGACACAGGAGCTAACATTTCGGTAATGGTGTGTTAAACAACGCACACTAATTAATTGCGATTTTAAATTATACGCGGCTAATGATAGCGAGATAAAGACATACGGCATATGTTATTTAACAATAACTTTTGGTCTTAGAAGAGATTTAAAATGGCCGTTCATAGTGTGCGATGTTAAGCAACCAATAATCGGGGCAGATTTTTTAAGAAATTTTAGATTATCTGTAGATTTATATAATAATAGATTAGTCGACCTACTTACTAATTTGTACGTTTGTGGATCAAAGAGTGTAAACTCGATAGGAGTGGTGAAGAGTATTAGTAGTAGCCAGCCGTACGCGGAATTACTTGAGCAATTCAAGGAAATCACGCGCCAACCTATTTTTAAGGAAGTGTCAGAGCATTCTGTCTATCACCATATTGAGACAACAGGCCCGCCAGTGTATACGCGAGCAAGGAAGCTGCCATCTCACAGGTATGATTTAGTTAAAAAAAAATTCCAGCTGATGCAGGAGTTAGGGATATGCAGACCATCGAGTAGTCCGTGGGCCAGCCCACTACATGTAGTTCCTAAAAAGAACGGTGACATTCGACCTTGCGGGGACTATAGAATGCTTAATGCAATAACGAAACCAGACCGTTACCCGATTCCCAGAGTTCAGGACTTTACCTATGGTTTACACAACAAAAAAGTTTTTTCAAAAATTGATATTTGTCGAGCGTATCATGTTATAAAAATTAGGCCGGAAGATATTGAAAAGACAGCGATTATTACCCCATTCGGACTTTTTGAGTTCCCAAGGATGACGTTTGGACTGCGTAACGCAGCCCAAACATTCCAAAGGTTTATAAATAGTACGATATTAGCAGGCATAGAACATTTGAATAGTTTAGATGATAAGAATATAACCGGAGAATCATATGTATTCGGATACCTTGATGACGTCATCATTGGATCAGATAACGAGCTAATACACCAAAAGCATTTGCGACTTTGAGCGTTTCAGTAAATACAGCCCTGCGATTCTGTAACTCACTTTTCGAACTCACACAGCGGTTTTCGCATCGGCGGTCGCTCTCAAATCAGTCGTGAAGCAGTCATTTTATGATTTGGCATTCTGAAAAGGTGGGAGCTTGTAGTTTATTGTTTATCAAAATGCCAAATCATAAAATGACTGCTTCGCGACTGATTTGAGAGCGACCGCCGATGCGAAAACCGCTGTGTGAGTTCGAAAAGTGAGTTACAGAATCGCAGGGCAGTATGTCAATTAACTTAGGAAAATGTGTTTTTGGTCAAACAAAAATTGATTTTTTAGGATACGAGGTCTCAGAAAAAGGTATTAGTCCGTTACACGACAAAGTTCAAGCTATCGAAATGTACCCGAAGCCAGAATCTATTGTAGACCTTCGCAGGTTTCTCGGCATGTTAAACTTCTATAGAAATCACATACCAAACGCCGCGAAAGTACAAGGAACGTTAGATAGGTATTTACATGGAGCAAAAAAGAACGATAAGCGTAAGATACAATGGACGGATGAGGCTAGTAGGGCATTTGATTTGTGTAAGGAGAATTTAAAGAACGCCGCCACTTTATCGCATCCGATTGCAAACGCAGAATTAGACTTAATGACCGACGCATCCGATTTCAGTATCGGCTCGGTGTTACAACAAAAGGAAAACAACACTTGGAGACCCCTAGGATACTTTTCAAAAAGGCTTACGGAATCCCAAAAGAAGTACTGCACATATGACAAGGAACTTTTGGCGATTTACTCAGGCATCGTTTATTTTAGAGACTTAATAGAAGGTAGGAATTTTACGGTGTATACAGACCATAAACCGTTAACATTCGCATTTAGTAAGTTAGGCTCAAACAAAGAATTACCTAGAAGGGCGCGACAGCTGTTATTTATTAGCGAATTTACAAATAACATCCAACACGTAATAGGTAGCGAGAACACAGTTGCGGACGCATTGTCGAGGATAGAAGCGATAACATGTCCGAACCCGGTACAATACCTAGACATCGCCCATGCGCAGGCCGATGACGCTGAGTTAGCAAATTTATTGAGTACAAGTACCGCTAGTAGCATACAATTAAAACAAATGAACTTAAATAATTCCGATGATTTGATTTATTGCGAAACGTCTACTAAAAATATTCGGCCATACATTCCGAAAGAGTTTAGAAAGTCTATATTTGATTATTTCCATGGGTTAGCGCATCCAGGGGTAAAGGGATCGCGAACACTTATATGTGAAAAAGCATTTTGGCCAAATATGAACAAGGATATAGGAATTTGGGCAAAGACATGTATTCAATGTCAAAAAAGTAAAATAGTGCGACACACGGTGTCTAAGTTAGGTTCTTTCGAGGAAGGCGACCGTTTTGCACATTTGCATATCGATTTAATAGGACCACTACCCGTGACGGAACATGGCTATCGGTACTGCGTGACGATGATAGATCGGCGTACACGATGGCCTGAGATTTGTCCAGTTACAGATATGACGGCTGAGACTGTTGCAAAAGCAGTTTATGATAACTGGATCTGTAGGTACGGTTGTCCAATTTTTCTGACGTCAGATCAAGGCCGGCAGTTTGAGAGCGAATTATTCATAGATTTAATGAAAATATTAGGCATTCGTAAAACACGCACTAGCCCCTATCATCCGCAGGCAAATGGTAAAATAGAAAGATGGCATAGGTCTTTAAAAGCGGCATTGATGGCTAGGCTAAACAATAACGCGGCTTGGTTCGCAGAATTACCTACGGTGATGCTAGGACTGGGAGCAGCGTGTCAGGCGGACAGCGATGACATAAGCGCAGCGGAATTCACTTTAGGTCATTGTTTACGTTTACCTGGTGAATTTTGTAGCGATAGTATTACTAAGATAGAGAATCCACAAGCGTACATAATTAGATTAAGAGATATTTTAAATAGTATGTAACCTAAATCTAGAGATTTTAGTAATAAAAATATGTTTGTACATGCTGATTTAGGTTCTTGTTCACATGTTTTCTTGAGAATAGACGCAGTACCGAAACCTTTAGTACCACCTTATTGCGGACCCTACAAGGTATTGGAAAGGAATAAAAATAATTTTAAGATTGCGATAAATGATAAAATTTCTTACGTTTCAATAGACCGTGTAAAGCCAGCGTATATACTAGATGAGTTTAATAGCAACCAGGTTAGCGGAAACTTAGATCAGCATAAGCAGGTTAATGAACCTTTAAAAATTACTCGTAGTGGTAGAAGTGTTAATATTTGTTTACCTGGAATATCTTACCAAGGTATTGTAGATAAAATATTAAATTATCATTCTGTAGATAGTAGCTCTGAATTAATATTATTGTGTGGTGACAGTATGGGGATAAAAAAAACCCACATTACTCAAACAATTACTAAACTTTTGGAGTTTGGTAAGGAAAAAAATGTAAAATAACACTTTGTTATTTTCCATATGCAAGCAATATGGATTATAAATTTAATCAACAGATTTATGTTTTAAATCAATTTATTCACCATTTGACATGTCGTCATAGTGACGTATTTTTATATTTTGATTGTAACAGGTTTGTTACTAAATTTACCCTGACCAAAGATACATTGTATCTTTCATATAAAATAAAAAAAGAAATTGCTAAGTTATTAGCATATAATTTTAAAGAAACTACAACGGTGACATGTAGTAAAATTGTCACGAAAAATTTACATTTTACAAATTTAAACTAGCACCTAAGACAAAAGCCAAGCCAGCACTATTAAATATTGTTTATCAAAATCTACAAGGTTTGGCTGGCAAGGAATTAGAATTAGAACTGTTTACAAAAAGTCGCGAAATTGAAGTTATTTGTATTACAGAACATTGGCTAAGAAGTTATGAAACTATTGTTATTGACAGCTTCCAATTGTGTAGCGTATTCATGAGAAGTAGTTCTATTCGTGGCGGATCATTAATATTAATAAATAGTACTGTCAAATCGAAAGATCGTAAGGATACTGTAAGTCTATCAATTGAATGTGTTATTGAATTATCTTGTGTAGAACTGGAGAACTATGTTATAGTATGCGTATACCGGCCCCCTTCCGGAGATTATTACAATTTCGAGTCAGTAATGGAAGATGTACTTAAAAGACTGACTAGAAAACGAAAGTCGGTCATTATTTGCGGAGATTTTAACATAAACATACTTGAAAGTACTTCAGTAAGCACTAGATTTATTTCAATGTTTAAATGTTTCAATTTAGTAAACCAATTCTCTGAACCAACAAGAATCACCTCCCATTCAGCAACTTGTTTAGATAACATATTTTCGAGTGACAAACCAATTTCTAAATCAGTAATAACAAACCTTACTTCTGACCATTGTGGTCTGATAGTTGGCTTCTCTGACAAAATACTTGATGAAGCCAAGCACGTTAAGTATCGCCCCATCACAAAAAGTCGCATCGAAAGTTTTAGGCAAAATATTAATTCTAAGGTTTGTGCAATAGATTACTCTGTTCTAAATAATTCGGAGAGTCAATACAAAAGATTGTTTAATGTTATTCAAAATGAGTTTGATAGTATTTACCCATTAAAGACTGTAAAGTGCAACAAAAAAATCAAGTTTGATGACTGGGCCACGAGTGGTATTTTTAAGAGTAGGAATAGGCTTTATGAATTATATGCATTAAGAAAATATAATCACAACGCAGTGTTTATGGAATATGTCAGAAATTATTCCAAAACTTTTAGAAAAGTTTGCAAATATACAAAGGCATTGCATATACGTGAGAAAATTAAGAATTCAAGTAATAAAATCAAAACTACTTGGAATGTTATAAATCGAGAAACAGGAAACCTTAAATCCCGTAATAATTCATTCTTTTTAAAGGTAGATGATAAGATTATTGTTGAAAGCTCAGAGATTGCTGATATTTTTGAAGATTTCTTTACAAACATACCTGTAATTACTACATCTTCTCTGAATTCCTCTCCCAAAGAGGCTATTAGTTTTCTTAAAAGTCACGTACCGGAATGCAAAATAAATTTTCAGTTTAAGCACGTTAGCGCTGGTGATGTAGTTAAAACTTTTAAATCTTTAAAATTAAAACATTCTGGAGACTTGTGGGATGTTTTTGTACGTATTATTAAGGACATTATAGATAGTATTGCCCCAGATCTTGCGTATATTTTTAACAATTGTATTGATGAAGGAAGTTTCCCAGATTTAATGAAGCATAGTAAAATAATACCTTTATTTAAATCTGGATGCAGGACAGAACCTACTAATTTTAGACCCATCTCAATATTGCCAACCTTAAGTAAAGTTTTTGAAAAAATTATACTAGAACAATTAATTACATTCTTTAATACAAACAGTCTTCTACACAACGCACAATACGGTTTTACTAAAGGTCGCTCCACTACCGATGCTGGAATAGCTCTGTTACGACATATATTTGATGCATGGGAGAAAACTCAAAATGTACTAGGAGTTTTCTGCGATTTGTCCAAGGCGTTTGATTGTGTTGATCATGAGACTCTGCTTTGCAAACTTGACCACTATGCTATAAAAAATGTAGCTCTTAACTTAATAACCTCTTACCTAAGTTGTCGAACTCATAAAGTTGATATAAATGGAACTAAATCTTCGGGATCACACATTAAAATGGGAGTCCCGCAAGGATCAATATTGGGACCATTTTTATTTCTTATATATATTAACGATTTGCCTTCTTATGCAAAGCCATTATGTGATATTGTATTGTTTGCTGATGACACGTCCTTGATTTTTAAAGTAAATAGATATAAGACCAATTTTGACGATGTGAACAATGCACTTTCTGAAATAGTGTGCTGGTTTTCTGCAAATAATTTACAATTAAATGCCACAAAAACAAAATGCATAAGATTTACTTTACCTAATGTTAAAACTACAACTATAGAGCTTAAATTGAATAATGAAAAACTAAATTTAGTTGATTCTACAGTATTTCTAGGCATTACAATAGACCAAAAACTTCAATGGAGTCAGCATATCCCTAAACTTTCTGACAAGCTTAGTTCTGCGGCATACGCTATTAGGAAAATTAGGCAACTCACAGACGAGGAAACTGCCAGAATAGTATATTTTAGTTACTTTCACAGCGTTATGTCGTATGGAATTCTTTTATGGGGCAAAGCAGCAGATATACAATCTATTTTTATCTTGCAAAAACGTGCTATTAGGTCAATTTATTGCTTGAAACCAGGCACTTCACTAAGAAATTTGTTCAAGAAAATCGATATTTTGACGGTACCTTCCCAATATATTTACAACTGTATCGTTTTTGTGCGTAGTAATATTGGTTCCCTTTTAAAGAACAGCGACATTCACAATAGGAATACAAGAAATAAGGAAAAACTTTTCCAGCCGTCTTACAGGTTGCAGAAAATAAATACTTCATTTATGGGCCTAAGTATACGCTGCTATAACATGATTCCTAGTGAAATATTGGAACTGCCTTTAAACAGATTCAAAACACATATCAAAAAAACCTTAATGTGTAAAGGTTACTACACAGTCAATGACTACCTGGAAGATAAAAACGCTTGGCAATAGTTATAACTAATTATATTCTTATAATTTGATTGGTTATCTTTGAAGTGTTATGAATATGTGTGTAATAGTGAATGTGGTAAATCACAGAACAGATTTTTATTTTTTTTTACTTATGTAACTTAAATGACGTTGTGGTTTATGACATTTTCCTTTGAATAATTGTAATGTAGAGGGAGGGTAAAACTTGCTGAGTTTCTTGCCCGTTCTTCTCAGAACAAGGCCTCCTGGTAGTTTTGCGAACGGATGGCGTAGTCTTGCTCTTTCGTGAATTTTGTAAACGTTGTTGACATTCATAAGCATGCTCTAAGAAGCATCTAAATTGAATAAACGTATTTTGATTTGATTTGTTAAGCAACCCGTTAGGTTTATGTTTTGATTTGTAAGCAACATACTTAGTAAGTAGGGAATTGCAAATTCAGCGATTGTTCAGCTAATTGCAAAACCAATTGTATTTAGATTAAAAAGAAAAATATGGAATTCATTTAAAACTGTGTATATATTTATAACATTTACATTTTGTCATAGTTTTTTTTTTATTTAAGGGTATCAGTAGTCAAAATTTTTTTGTGTTTATATGTATCTACTCATTTTTTTTTTAAGAAGGGGGTGTATGTAGAGGTGTAATTATTGTCTGTATAGAAATTTCGCAATTTCATTTGTAATATTGTCGACGTATCGTTATTTCGTAATTCCACTTGCACGTGGATGAATCAGTCGCCCTAAAACCGCCATGTAAGTCAGAGGACAATAAAGACATCGAATTCTATTTCGGTTTTCATTTGGTGTACCTCAAACACTAAAATATCATTGATCAATACACTAACCAGTACCTAGTTGAGTACACTCTCATAATCAGCCCTATGTGTATTATTACATTGAAACAATCATAGATTTATATCGTTAGATAGGCCCTTACCGCAGTGAGACCGCGCCGTGTTGTTCCACAGTCGAAGTGAGTGAGCTCACTAACCTGGTATCAATGCACCCCTAAACACAGTGTTAGCCGGACGTGTTGTAAAGGACGTTTGCGAGCAGTTTAGTGTCACAAAATGCCATCGTGTGCCTTTCTAAAGTGCAACAACAATTCTAGAAACACAAATAAAGCCAGAGGTGTAACATTTCACTCGTAAGTATTGCGATTTGATTTAAAAACTTTTATGTTTCCTTCCGCACTGTCTAAAATAACAAATTTAAATGGCGAGAGCACGAAAGAGAAAGTAGTGTTTGCAACTAATGTAGGAGAAAAAGAAATGACACTATTTTCTCAGTACATAGGTAATAACAACAGATAAGTACAATGGCAGAAACACGATTTTTTAACTACTCTTTAGTGTGCGTGTGTCGGCCTTTTGTTAACGCACACATTCAAAAACAATGCCACAGTTTTTGGTGTCGGGGCCTATCTAACGATATAAATCTATGGGAACAATAATTTCGTCTGAAATCGACTTCAAGAACCATCGGGTTTACAGAAGAAGTTCCTCATATTTTGACTGATGGTGTGCGGAATCGAGAATTGCTAGCTCTATATTAATATCGTACTGCAATTAATTGTAATAATTAATAAATAATATGCATACAACTATTAAAGATATCAGTAATATTTTTATTCTATAGGCCAGACTGTCAAGTTTTGTGCTGTCATATGTCATATTTATTAAGGTGATTAATGTTTCACTTCTGAACTCTCAAACTCTGAACTCTGATCTCTGAAGTTCTCACTACTCAGCAAAGAGTAAGATAAGTATAGTTTACGTATCCCCGTACGTAGCCAGTCAAGAGACATTTCTTTCCAATGGGTGCCATTTCTTTTAACAACTCAATGGGTTGAACCTTATCGCTGAATTTGAATTTGCCTTCGATCATTACGATGGCTATGGCATTCTTCCTTCTTCTATGGTATCTCTAGAATACATTTCATGAGCCACAAATCTTTTATTCTTGTAACGGTCACCTCCTTTATCGATCGTGTGACTGCCAACCACTATCGACTTTTCTTTCATGTTTTTCCTAAAAGTATTTTTTAAATCAATAAACTATAATTAAAGTTCGTCGTGCCTCATACATTTTTCACATTTTTTCTAACTAAATTAGTTGTAAAAGATTCTGTATGTCACTGAAAGTGGAGGTCATCAATGATGGCAATATTTTTGTTATTGCGTGTAAACCAGGCTTAGGCGCATCACGACTTGCACAGCAAGCATACGCGGGCGAAGGAGCTTATATATGTTAACTCATGCAATTAAATAATATATTAATAGAATCGAAAAATATACTCACTTACAAACGCAATGAGCGGCTGTTACTCTTCGTTTAAAATGGATTCTCCGCTACTGTGCCATTCTTGCTTTCCTCTATGACAACGCATGGAAATTTGGTAGTTAGCCATGCCTGGAGTGGCATCTTTGCCACCTATTTATTATTCGGCTGTCTCCATCTATAGCTTCCGAAACGTCGATTTCACCTGTGAACGTACTTTATTTTATTCGGCCACATGTTCATATTTACTTTAATATACTGCAGTTGGGCACGGGGCACGGTATTATATTTTTTTGTTGCGGAAGCCAAAGAAAGAAAGAAAGAATTCATTGCATTCAAATGACGGTCCAGATCTCAGAGGGGTCTCAGGTCTCAGAGGTCACAGGTTGGACAGTAATTAGGAAGCATAAATAAATCCCTTTTAGGTAGAGGTTGGAAGGCTTGATTGGGCCTTTTGCGGGAGGACCGCCGTTGGCTGACCGCTTCTTCTTGCGATCTGCGGTTTGAAACTCGTCCGAGTTAGGGGCGGCTTCGTCAACCGACTCTGCCGTAGCGGATAGGGTAGACATCGTTAAGGACCCTAGGACCCATCTAACAGTGGACCCTGATTGTAAACCGGTCGCTAGAGAGTGGTTGGAGTACCTACTCGGAACGCGGAAGTGCCTACTACGGCTACGCACAAGGACGTGAAGGAAGCGGACGAGGCGTCTTGAGACGGCGGCGTTTCCACCACGAGCAAACCCTCCCCCACAATACCACAGAATGATCCGAAAAACTCAATGGCCAGTCAACAGAGACTTGGTAATTCTTCGGATGTGAAGTCAGCATAAAGTCCAACAAAGAAATAAAGTAAAATCGTGAAAGGATTTTTCCGCGTGATCTGTGCTTTCAGAGCTGAGATAATAGGCATAGTGGGCTGTTACATCCCTAGTTTGGTAGCCATAACGCTAACTCATCTTCGCAACGACTTTCAAACGATTACGTTCCTAGTGACTTCAGTCAGTCTGCGTATATCATTCTTAGAGAGCGGTTGTCAAATTTTTATATTGTAATTACTATCCTAATTAAATCCTTTCTTTAAATAGGCATTAGAATTCCACGGCCTAACAAAGCGATAAAATCGCCGAGTACCACGATTACCATTGCCGGAACCCTTTACAGCAGGGAATCTGTAGCCGCTTCATTGTTCTCGATGAGTCTGTCAGTTTCGTCACTTCACCTATGGGCTCTACACAGGCACTCATAGAATCGCGGATGGTCATCGCAGTCTATGCGCATCCATAGATAGGTCCGTTCCTTCAAGCATCCCGAGGCGAACAGATCAGATATCCTCTCTGACGTATACGCAAACTTACCCCCAGGCCACAAACTCTTCGCTTTCTCTCAGCAGAGCATATGATGAAAATTGGCAAGAGTTCTGGCCTGATCTTTAACTTTTTTGCCTAGATATGTTGGTATAGCGAAGCAACCACATCCCTAGGTCGATGTTTTTAACAATATATTTTTATAAAATGTATTATTCCGAAATGTTTGTGTAATTTACACGTGCTTGTCAATTTTTGAAGGCCATGGAAACTAAGAAACAATTATATTATAAATTTCTCATTAATATCAAGGTTGAATAGAGGGAATCATTAACGTTACTTAGTAAAGTCGAATTTTTAGGGGAAAAAATTAAAGTTGCTCTCTCTTCTCTATTATTAAGATGTTGTATTATAGCAATAAATAAGATTTAAATATTGCTCTGTCTTATCCATTTCTCGCTTCCGAAGTGGCGAAGACTCCTTCAGACCTTAATTATCGAATTTGAGGGCTCCGATTGTTACCTTAGGTCTCTTGGTGTGGACACTCCGAACTTATTTATATATTCACCAGTTTTGTGTTAGCGCTTAGGGATCTGTAGGGTTGTTAGGTTCTTACATCTCACCCTCGCATATATTTAGTTATCTTGTGCTGCTTGCTTATAAATACCGTACATATACTTACCTATAAATTGTCTGATCTTCACTCCCGAAATACTAGGAACAAAAATAATTTAACAGTTCATGCTACTCGCCTTCATAGAATAAGCAACTCGTTCATGGGTATACGCTTTTACAATAAACTTCCTATGGATGTTCGTAAACTTCCCCTTAAGAAATTTAAATTTTTTATTAAATCAAAATTATTAACTAAAGGATATTACAGGATATCCGATTATTTAAATGATAGAAACGCCTGGGATTGAGCTGCTCGCTTATACAGCTATCGCTTGTGTTTTTTTTTTAAGCTGTCTTTCACTTTTTTTTTTTGCATGTTGTACATATTTACAATCTGACATGTCTTGTGCTTTTGCATATGCATTTTATTTTATTCTATTGACATGTTTGTGCTTAGTGCATATTCATTTTTTTACATTTTTTTTCTCTACATTACTGATACGTTTTGCATATCATTTTACTTGAATTTTGTTATACATTTTAATTTTTTCTCTAATTATGAGTATGACACTTCTTTAAAATTTCTATTGATTTTTTTATAATTATTTACATTTTTTTTTCTACATTACTGAGTACTGATTTTGTGTTAATGCATTTTATTTATTCTATTAATTTTGTTATAAATTTTTACATTTTTTTCTCTACATTACTGATACTCATTGTATAATTTTTTCTATTGAATTTGTTATATATTAATTTTTTCCTATTTGAGTTTTATTCATTTTTTCTTTTTCTACAATACTGACATGTTTTGTGCTTTTGCATACAATATTTTACACTTTGACATGCCATGTGAATAATGTTTATATGTATTACGATTATATTTTCCAATTTCATTATTTTTTCCTTGCTTTAAGGTACACCTTAAAATACATTTTGTATCCATTGTAAGTGTAAACATTATGCGGGTATATCATAAACTCTTTTGCTTGATTTATAATTTGATACATTTTCGTCTATAGTTATTTTGGGCTGGCGATCTGAGTGAGTTGTTGCCCGACATATTTTTATGGTGCCACTGGCGGTATTGTTGTGTACCGGGTTGTGCAGCTCCCTCAAAAATGGTTGAGCTGCATGAGCTATTCGGGGCATGCTTGCCGTCTGCTGGCACAGGCTTGCTCAGATCGATCTGGTTCTTTCTTCCAAAGACCAGTCCAGTAAATACTCTGCATTTGTTTACACCAATTTATTAATTTATTATTGTATTATCTGGACTATAAAAGAGACTAAGACCCCCGAGTTTGTTTCGACATTTCTTCTCAGGGCAGTCAGTTAGGAAATGTCGACTTCATCTAGTTTAGGAAGACATTGTAAAAGTGATTTATATAGTCCTACTTGCAAGAATAAACTATTTCATTTCATTTCACATATAGTACACATAGACAGATACTTCTGACATATAATACATATATACTTTTGTATTTGTATATAAAATGTAGTAAAGCCAATTTTTATTATGTTTTACATGGCTTAGAAATTTCGCAAACAGTTTTCGATGCAGTTTAGTTTTTTTATAGAGCAAAGGGTGTTTTTAGCAAAAAACTTGTGTCTTCTTGGGGTTCAATTGGACTAGATTTAGTCGACCGCAGTCCGAGACTCCACATAGCAGAGTTTCGACTTCAGAAACAAGTTTGTTCCGGTACTCAAAAGTCAAAAATCATTTACCTATTCATATAGGTAACACAATGTACACTTATGAACGTTTAAAAGAAATATACATTAAATGCTTCTAATTTTACATTTACTGCCAGTTCTCAAACCAAGGGCGTAGAACGGAAGACAAGAACTGGCAATAAACTCACCGCACTCTTTTTAAAAGCCAAGTTTTTTGTTTTACACAACGTTTGTAAGGAGCTGCAACCATTACACTATGTTACACATTCAATTATACTACGGATCTCTGCGGTCTCATCCGCATTTGTCATAGTGTGATAAAGATTCAATAGTCATCTTCAAATTTTATTTCCTATCTTGTCCTCTCAAAAACGCACCAAAATAATATAATCATCTAATTTAAATAAAGGTACACTGCTACTTTGCTATTTATCATTTTTTTATTATAATTTCTATGATAAGAATATTGTAAATACGTTCTTATAATTAAGTCTTTTTGTAGAAGTATTTTTAAATATTATTTAATACGAAATAAATTGTCCACCTTGTGATAAAGGTCTTATTTAAATAAGTAATTATTAAAGCCTTTTGACAAAATATAAAACAAGCTAAAGCGGAAGGAGCCGGCTACCTGTCATGTCACATGTGTATAAAACTCTGTGTGGAATAAAATTTAATTAATTTTGTGCAATGCCAATAAATTTTAATTTTCTATTAACATGTATTATTCCGTCCGTTACACTTTTGTAATTAACAAAAACTTGACTTGGAAAATAACAAATTAACTTTTCTTTGAAAAAATGTTTCCTTGAGTTGTGTTACTTAATTTAAATGTTTGTAAAATATTTATAACATTCAGACCCTCACCTCAGAATATGCTAGAAAAATTGATTTGTGTTGAATTATACATTTCAATACGAAAGCTAGGTTATCCCTCAACATGCTATGCGTTACTACAGCGGGTGGAAAAGCGTATTACCGCTAATATATTATGATATATTTCAAGCATTAGGTTAGGAAAACGGAAAATTATTAATTAAATCAAACAATATAATATTTTATTTCATAATTACGGCGCGTAATTAAGAATTGTATTAAATTAATAGAGTAAAAAATTTCTACTGATAAGAATTTTCAGTGTTTTAAATAATTTATTTTCTTAAGTCTCACATATGCAAGATATGTTTTATTAGACATAAGTCCTTATAAATTATTAATATTTTATAGAAAAAAATCTTTCATAGCCATAAAATGCTTAATTGTCACCTAAAACACACACAAACTCATCCATAACCCTTAAACGAATTTAATTGAGTAATTAGCTGAGTAGCGATGCTTTTCATTATCTTGGCAGGATGTTAAAAAATAACAGAAAATAAATTGAAGTTAAAAAAATTGAAAAAAAAACCATTTTAAACAGCACCTAACTATTTTTTTATTCTCACATACATTTAAATTTGGATTTTTATTCTAGAATCAACATACATTATCATGTTGCGGTACTTGGCGCTTGTTTGCGTGTTGACATGGTCCGCACAAGGTAGGTTTTTTTTAAAGTACTGTTTCTGAAGTAATTTATCTTTTAACTGAGATCAAGCCTGACGGAAAAAGAAATAAATAAAAAAATATTTTTTAGCTACGAAAGTAGTTCCGAAGATAGTAGGAGGAACGGAGGCTGCTGAAGGAGAGTTCCCATACCTGGCTTCATTGAGAGTATACGATTACCGAAATGTGCTGACCCATTTCTGTGGAAGCTCGATTATCTCCCATTGGTTGGTGATGACTGCAGCCCATTGCATGCTAGAGTATGTATTTCTCACTATCCTATCACCAAATGGCTGGATTTTTTATATTTATAATTTTAGTATAGATAATAAATATTATAATCAAATAAAGTTTTAATGTGACAAGTTCACAAGGCTAATCTCTATCCCATAACTGGCAGATCAATAACACTTATAATATAATTAAAACGATTTTTAGCTACCCCAAAGACAGAATAGAAGTAGTAGTCGGCACAAACGATTTTTGGAGTGGCGGTGCGAAATACAAAATTGATAAATACATCAATCATGAAAACTACAACGACACTTCATTTGCGAACGACATAAGTCTTATTCTAGTGAACAGACAGATACAGTTGGGGGAGAAAGTTGGTTTAGTTAAATTGCCGACAGAGGACACTCCAGGCGGACTCGATTTGATAATAGCTGGATTTGGATATATTGACGTAAGTGCTTTCTTAACCCGAAGCTACCACTTTGAACTATATATGTTATTGGAATTTGTAATCATTGAGCACGGTTATGTCGTAGGTATATGTATATCTACGAAATAAAACCTTATTTCGAGATGAGGTCTATTTCAACTTAGGGAACAGGTTTTATTAAAGTTCAGTAGTTCAGTTCTGAGATATTCGACGCATTTCGACTTACGTTTCCAGAACTTTATTTCTAATCTCAAAACATGTTCTTTTTTACATAAGAAACTTAATATACGAACGAGATACACGTCGCCATCAGACAGCCGTCCTAATTTTAGTCCAATTAGCTTAATCTGATATATATCTTTAAGGCCCTTTTAAATTGGTTAAACGCACTAATAATAGACAAATAAGTATTTCGACTAGACCGTGCAACTCTCATCTTTGAGGTAGTTTCGATCCCCGGCTTTGCACCAATAGATTTTTCTGTATCGTATTTAACATGCGCGAGTACGGTGAATGATCACGACTGTATCCACGGCTAGCGCTACTGGTTTTTCACACAACGTTGACTTTTATACGTCCTTTTATAGAATTATCGCACACGACCCAAAAGAATGCAAAAGTTGACTGTGAAATCACTAACAGTGAAAGAATGTCAAGAGAGTGAACTTAAAAAGGAGAAAACATGGAACCCAATCACTGATAAACTGCTCTGTACATACAAAGATGTTAGCCAAGGCATATGTCAAGTAAGTAAATAATTTATGAGTAATAAATACACATATACTTAAACACAATATACAAATAAATCAAATGGGTGAATCTATTAGTGACACAAATATAAGCGATCCTTGATACAAAGTAAAGTGTCAACTTTTATAGTACCTAACTTCATGGAATAATCAAACCCTAGATTTATTAAAATTGATTTTGTTATAAATGATTGCAGGGTGATTCTGGAGGTGCTCTTGTCCATAATGGAACTGTACATGGAATAACATCCTGGAACATTCCATGTGGTAGAGGGGTGCCAGATGTATTCACCAGGGTTTACAAGTACCTGGATTGGATTTCTACGACTATTGGAAAACTTCCAATACCTACCTAAAATAGTGTTACTACAAAAACATTTTAATTTTTCGAATCATAAGGAAGTTATTATTTTTCATTTAACCTGACATTTTAATAAAGCCATGGTAAACATTGTTACTCTTGTTATCACACTAAACTTTCCATGAAAATGACTACAATTATATTGATGAATGAATGAAAAAATAATGATATGATTTGTTTTTTTACCCAGCCACCACTCGTATTATTATTGCCTACTACTACTAGCATCTTTCACTGGTTATTTGCTAAAGTATGTGATATTGTATATTCAATCCACACCATTTTAGCGGGAATCAAACTTAAACTGGACTATGACGTCATAGAGATTTTATTAAATTTAGCTATTGCATGTTTTTGCATAAAAAAATCATCTTTTGTAGTTATTTTTATATACTGCGACATTATTAAATGACTAATAATTTAGAACAATCGAATACCCTATAACAATGTACTATACCGCGTCTAATCTCCTTTGTTCTAGTTTGAAATACAATTATCTACCTGTAGTTAGTGTAAAATACCTACTAGATACTTAACGAATTTATTTTATCTGTTGCCAATAAATTTACAATCATATCGAAAATTACGTTCAAATCGAAGCCTATTTTCAGAGTTACGATAAAATTAAAAAATAGTAATAATAACTTTTTTATGAACTATTTTTAAAATAGGGCTGATAATGATTTATGAAATACGTTTTTTTTAAATACAAAAAAAATAGAATAATATGAAACACAAATCTTTGAAATGAGCAGACAACGAAGTAAAGACATTTTCGTCCTCGGAACAATACACGAAATCAAAATCAAATATCATTTATTCTTATAAAATAAAAATATAAAATGTTTCTACGTTTACATTTAATGTTTTAAATCAAGGGCGTAGAAGAAGAAGAACTGGTAAGAACCTCTAGCATCCATATTCATGCAAAAAAGGAGAATTAACCTGCGATGAAAATCCCAAAAAAGAAAAATATGTTTCGAACATTTCAAGTAAACATACTTTGAAAACTACCTGTTACTTTTATAAATAGGTGTTTAAATTGAATTGAATTGAATTGTGGCGTGGCGACGCTTGCCGTGACGGGTCGCCACGCTATACTAAGGTATACATATTAGGTTGAGGAAAAAGTCTTTTCGCATTATAGTATGTATGAACTTGTAATAAAATCTCTTTGGCTATACTATTTGTATTTGCCTGTTTTGATGTGAAAGCCAAACGTAAAACCGATTTCTGGCGTGGCGACACCACGCTATATGATGGTATTTATATACAGTCTATATGCAGTAGTGTGAACGGTGTGTGTATTTCGAGTCACTGATTAAACGAATTAAGTAGTCACGATTTGAAATAAATTCGTAAATTTTTGTATTTAATGAAAATAAATGTTTATTATATATAATATAATAAATAGTCATCGTTATCTGGAAAAAGAATCGTAATATTTTATTTTATCATTATGACATATTTAGTTCCTATCACAATCTGTTCTTCTCTGCATATCAATTTTGCAAAATAATGTCGATGTTTCACATCTGCCAGGCGTCCCGTGACGGCTCACATTTTTTTAATTTAAGGTATACATTTTAATAATATTACAATAGTTCATTAAAAAAATGAACGCTAGCGTAATAGCGTTAATACGGATCCTGACGTTTTGTATGCAATTTTAATGTAGTTCCCTCAATAATTAAGCAGGTAAGAGTTTTCTTTATTATTATAAACAGATGATAAATATTTAATCACAGATTTCAATAAAGAGAAAGGCCATTTTTTCGAGTGGGCATCTCGTGGGTGTGGTTCCAACCGGTCATTCCCGGTCCGGTACATCTTCCCTTAATGTACAATCTTTATTTTGATCAGATAAAAATAAAAATAATTATTAATTGAATTATTCAATAATTCATTTAATTTTGCTCTGTATCCAATCGTAGAAACCATGGACTGAAGCAAACACATCAGTAAAGTCTTTGGCGCATGGAATTGCCCAGGACACGACTCCTATTTTAAGAGTTTTCTTCTTATCGTCCTGAATGACGAGAGGTCCACCAGAATCACCCTGCAGGAGAAATAATTACATTTAAATGTATTTTATCTTATATTGTTGATGCACACTTATTGATCTTCGTCCCTTATTAATAATAGGAAATAATCCGGAACCCAACCCATTGTGGATTTTGGCCTTAGATTTAAGAATTTGCACATATTTTGCATATGTATAGGTGTCTTGGTGACAGGTATTCTTTTTCTGCTAAGAAATTAGCCAGTGTGAAATGCAAACATAGAAATTCAGAACTTTTGAAGCCATTCACTATCCAGATACTACTTCAATCATTACTATATCATATCATCTCTTCTTCTTCTTACCCGCTCTACGCCCTTGACTTGCGAACTGGTAGTAAATGTAAATTTGCAATTAATTTAACTTCTTTCTGACAATTCATATGTGTACTAAGTATTTGTTTACATACATGAATAAAGATTTTTAGAGTTTGAGTTCATCTTCTTTTTTGACGTTCATTAGTGTACTTGTTTACCTATATGAATAAAAATATTTTGAGTTTCAATTTGTTAACAAGCAGGATACGAGGCAACCGCGGATGGTAAAATCCGCTTTGGTAGGCCTTTTCGTACGTACCCGGGCCAAATCCAGAAGGTACGAGAGAATTGACAAGTTAAAATTACCCATGAGCCGACGAGCAGGCACGGTGAATGTCATGAAAGTGGATGAAGTGACAGATTTACCTCAATACAATAGCAAGTGGAAATCCGTGGTCTCTGCCTACCCCTTCAGCAAAGCGGCGTCATAATATATACATAAATAAAAAAAGATTTAGAAGTTAGAATTTATTTCTGAATTCCTTCTTAGTATTGTCGCCCCATGTAGCGAAATCCCCCTACCGCCCAACGTTGCCAAAAACCTATCCCAACTTTTTAAATTATTACAAAATGGACCCAATAACCCTAATTCAATGGAATAGTAAAAGTTTACGTTCAAAAAAACACGAATTAATCTCCCTCATAAACCTCCATAAACCGACAATTGTTGCCATCTCGGAGACATGGCTGAGACCTGGTTCTCGATTTCGTGTGCCTGACTTCTCCTGTCTGCGGGATGATAGGAATGATGGGTATGCGGGCAGTGCTGTCTTTGTACGGCATTCCCGTACTTTCTCCCAAATTCCTCTTCCTACCCACAGCGAACAGATTAATGCTGTTGCTGTGCGTAACTTAGACATTTCTTTTGTATCTTTGTATATTCCTCACCCTTCTACTTCTCTTCTTCCCGAGATACAATCAATTTTATCATCCCTTCCCAGCCCTATCATAGCCATGGGTGACTTTAACACCCATCACACTATGTGGGGGTACCACGCTAGTCAAAGTCAAAGTCAAATCGTTTATTTCAATTAGACCATCTAAAATGGCACTTTTGAACGTCAAAAAAAAAATATAAAGATGATTCTAGTTGCCCCTTCCAAAAGGTAGTTTCGTGTGGAGAAGAATGGGCAAGAAACTCCACACTTACTCTTTTAAAATAGGTTTACAATATTTTGTTACATTTGTTAAATAATTATATGTGAAGACAATGTACTCTTAGAATAAACTACTATACTAAAAAAGTTAGTATACATGTTCCTCACATATTTACAAATATCGAAACCTTAGAATATTAACATTAAAGAGTAATAAAAATATTAAAAAAACACAACAAAACAGTGTGTGAGATACAAAAAAAAATAATTACATTTGTAGCATTATATAAATTAAAAATAATAATAATAATAATAACAAAAATATGTTAAAGCAAAAAATCAGCAACCAATTTGATTTTGTCCAGGCTATAGAGCCAATCATAGGATTGTCCTATGGAGCAGGACCAGCATGTTTCCAAGCATTCTTATCTTGAATATAATCATCTAATTTGTAATATGCTTGTTTACAAAGTGTACTTTTAATAAAACATTTAAATTTTCGTTCATTTAGTTTTAAAATGTCACAAGGTATTTTATTGTAACATTTCACACAGTACCCCATAAATGAATTTTGAACTTTGGCTAATCTGAAAGATGGTTGAGCTATTTTATCTTTATTTCTAGTACTAAAATTATGTCTTTCATTTATTTTACTAAAAAGATGTAGATTCTTTCTTTCTTACATACATAATATTTTCATAAATGAATTGGCAAGGTACTGTCATAATATTAATCTTTTTAATTAGTTCCCTGAGAGATTCGCAACGACGTAGATTATAAATGGCTCTGACCGCTCTCTTTTGCAAAATAAAAATGGATTCTATGTCAGCAGCCCGACCCCACAGTAAAATGCCGTAAGACATTATGCTGTGAAAGTAGCTAAAATAGACCAAACGCGCAGTTTCTACATTGGTTAAATATCTTATCTTTCTAACCGCATAAACGGCTGAGCTCAGCCGCCCCGCAAGAGATGTGATATGAGGTCCCCATTGTAACTTCTCGTCTAGCGTGATGCCTAGGAAAACCGTTTGATTAATAAATTCCAGTTTTCCTTCATTCAACATTATGTCACATTCCTTACTTTTAACATTTGGCAACGTAAATCTAATACATTTAGTTTTTTTATCATTCAGTGCCAAATTGTTTACCGTTTGCGATAGGTTTGCTCCACTGCTGATTGACTTACTCGATGATATCAATCTCTGCATCCTAAATGATGGCTCTCCAACTCGCAGGGAACCCTAATCAGAATCCCAAATCTGCAGTGGATCTCACCCTCTGCTCCCCTAACCTAGCCTCGCAACTAACTTGGAACGCCCTTGAGTTCACCTATGGCAGTGATCATTTTCCTGTAATTATTTCATTAAACAACAAATCCTTAACCCCCTCTTATCACAACCCTCTTTTAAAATATAAACTCAAAAAAGCAAACTGGAAAGATTATGCCGAATCCGTTGATTGCATGATAGACACTCTGCCTGATTTGGAATGTGAAGAAAATATCTTGTCTTGCTATGATCTATTTTTAAATTCTCTCATATCTTCGGCCGATTCTCAGATCCCCAAAAAGCACTCTCCTAAAAATCAGCTGCTTTCCTCTCCCTGGTGGGATGATGAATGCAGTGATTTGTTTGGTAAGAGAACGGACACTGAGAAATCTTACTCAGCCTGTATGTCTCAGGAGAACTTTAATAATTATCAGAAGCTTGATGCTAAAATTAAAAGGTTAGTACCCAAAAAGAAAAGATCTAGTTGGATACAATTTTGTGAATCCCTTAGCCCTCGCTCTCCATCCACTATTGTGTGGTCAAATGTGAGGAGATTCCGTCGTTCCCTGAACCATGTTGACCCTTCTTCAAATAACCCTTCTGACTGGCTTAACAACTTTGCAGACAAACTGACTCCACCTTTCGTTCCCTATGTGGACTCATTTCTAAGTTCTACGCCAGCTCCGGCTACCAATGAAATGGATGCTCCTTTTTCTTTCTCTGAGCTTCAAATCGCTCTTAATGGTCTCAAAGATTCAACTCCAGGGGAAGATGGCGTTCCATATTCCTTCCTGGCTAAACTAAATGACAAAGCTAAACTTTACTACCTAAAAATAATCAACAAATTTTTTGAAACTGGTATAATACCGACATCTTGGACATCTCAAATAGTCATTCCCATTCTCAAACCTGGAAAAAACCCTTCAGATTCAAATTCATATCGACCCATAGCTTTGTCATCTACTTTAGCTAAAGTAACAGAACACCTTCTTAAAAACCGACTGGAATGGTTAATGGAAAGTAAAAATATTCTCCCCTCCTCTCAATTTGGGTTCTGGAAGGGTATGAGTACCACAGACAGCCTCAGTGTACTAACAACAGACATTCGCCTAGCCTTTACAAAAGGTGCTTTGTGGGTGTGTATCTTGATATTACTTCTGCATATGACAATGTCCTACTTCCGGCGCTCAGGCAGAAACTGCTGCTGAATGTACCTTCGAGAATGGTACATCTCATATGTAATCTGCTATTTTGCAGATCTATTTTGATAAAGCATCAGAATACCTCCCTTCCCCCCAGACTAGTCTGGAAAGGTCTCCCTCAAGGCTCAGTTCTCAGCCCTCTGCTCTATACCATTTATACCCATGACCTCGAACTGTCTGTTACCAGTTTTTGTAACATTTTACAATATGCTGATGATATTGTCCTCTATCACAGCTCAGGCAGTATAGGGGAAATATCCTGTCGTATCAATTCTGCTTTGTATTATCTAGGCCAGTGGTTGTTTGACCACGGCTTGTCCCTGTCAGTGGGCAAATCTCAGGCAGTGGTGTTTACAAGGAAGAGATACATTCCCACTCTACTCATTTCATTTGAAAATCAAACAATCAACCTGACAGATAAAGCAACATTTTTAGGTATTTATTTAGACAACCGGCTGAACGGAATCGCCCATTCTGAACACATTATCAAAAAATGTGAAAAAGGTATTAACGTACTAAGAGCAGTAGCAGGAGGTTGGTGGGGTGCTCACCCCTATTTTTTAAAGTTATTGTATAATGCCTTAGTACGTAGTCATATGGATTACCTACTGTATGTTTGTTCTCGATCCTTTTAACAAATCAGCTGTTGAGAAACTTAACAAAATTCAGTATAGGTGCCTTAGAATCATTCTAGGTGCAATGAAATCCTCCCCCACTAATTCTTTGCAGGTTGAGTGCGTTGATCCTCCTCTACACATCCGCCGGCAGTATTTATGTGACCGCTTTGTTAGCAAGATGTTACAGCTATCATCCCACCCTCTTTGGCATCGATTAGCCCAACTATCACATGCTCCTTGCACCCGCAACTCCTCTTCCTATATGCTAGATAGTTATCTAAAGTACACCAGCCTCCCTAACCCCCTGATATCTTTTCCAACAAATCCCCTATATTCTACTCCTTATAAAGCCCTGGTAAACAACCCTCCCATCATCACAGACCTTGGTCTTATCAAAGGAGCCCCAGATACCAACATCAAATTACAAAGCTATATTAATCAAAATTGGTCAAATCATCTTCTTATTTACACTGACGCATCAAAGCTGTCTACAGTTGGCTGTGTTGGTGCTGCCTGTTGGTTTCCTCAGTATAGAATTATTCTGAAATTTAAATGTCCTCCTAAGTCATCAGTGTTCACAGGAGAGGCCACTGCTCTATTGGAAGCAATCCTGTTTGCTCACTCCTATAACATACAACAGACAGCTATTTTGACAGACTCTTTAAGTTGTTTAATGTCCAAAAGAAGAAGACCCATTTCGCAGCAAATCACGTTTTCCCATTATACTAAAAATCAGGGAGACTCTGCTCTCTTGTAATCAAAAAGGATTTTCTATCATACTAGTTTGGATTTCTAGCCACTCAGGTATCCCTGGAAACGAGACTGCTGATTCATGTGCCAAATCAGCTGTTGAGTCAGGTTCTCTAGATCATTTTAAATATTCAGCACAGGATCTATGTGCTCTTGCAAAGACATATCTGGACAGAACCTGGAAGACATTTTGGAATGACTCCAAATCGGTTAAGGGCAAGTTTTATACTTCCATCCAACCAAACATACCAAGACAACCCTGGTTTTGTCACAATCGGAATGCAAATCGCTGGATTACATCCACAATCTCTCGTCTGCGTCTTGGTCATGCTTGCACCCCTGTTCATCTTGCCAAGCTCCGGATAAGGGATCACTCTATCTGTGAGTGTGGCTTGGATGAAGGCACTGTATCTCACATTCTATTTAATTGTCCCAAACTAACCTATCCTCTCTATGAAGTTCTTCCTCTTAAAGTCCCCCGTTCTGTAAGTGTTAAATGTTTGTTAATGTTTGTGTTTAGTCCATATTGTAGATTTTTATGTAAATATATAGAAAGCAATAAAATTAAAGTGTAATATATATATATATATAAATTATTCGTAAATAGGAAATAGTAGGTATTTAATAATGTTATTACTCATATTTGTGTTGTCTAAAAACTAACAATCGAATTTCACCTTTTTTTAATCATTATTTTCACCGATCAATCTCTTTCGTGCCTTTTCCATCTACACGACACTGGCGAAGTACCTTGTGCCCAGTTGGCACAAATAAAAGCCATAAAAAAAAAAAAAAAAAATATTTCTGAACTCTGGTGACTGCCGAGTGCCGACTGGTCTCTGAAGTTCTCACTTCTCAGTTTCACGTGGGATTGTTTGTATAATAGTTGAAGTTTGAAATTTTGAAAGGATTTAAGTAAAAAATTATGAAGTAATCGTCGAACTAAAACATGGATTTTATTATCGACACTGTTGGTGATACCGACCTTCAAAATAAGTTTGAGCTACTAAAGGAAGATGACAAGCTTTTCATAGGTTACATTTTCTATTATTATAATATAAACATTCCACTAATTACTTTTATAAAAGTTTATTTGCGTTATTGTACTACATTTTCATTAATATTTTGGTCTAATAGTTTGAAATGTATACCCTAATATTACAGACAAGGAAAAAAGAACACTAGCCATATTAGACTTATTCGACAAAACGAAGCAAGAGCTAGATGGCCAAGTAGTTGCAGAGAATGCAATTGAAAGCAAATTAAAAAATCTTAAAATAGATCAAATGTATGATGACTTTTTTAACGACATGTTGTGGTCACACTCATTATTAGCTGTAAATAAAAAGAAACCATTATTCACATTTGATCAGTTAGATAAGGAAACAGGGAAACTGAAATCAAATATTGGCTCTGTTGATGTTGAAAAGGAAATGAAAAACTCTGTTTTAAAGCCAGGCATAGAAAAAGAAATTGCTTTGCCTAAATATAATGTTAGCGATAAAAAATTAAGGAAGCTGCGAAAGGTAAACTAAATGCATTACTTGAAAACAAATATTTTTAATTATGTTTTACTGAAATTTCTTATTGTTACTGCTATATAGTTATAAATGAATGTTTAATTTAGATTAGAATGAATATTTATTATTATCTACTTGTGTTTATAGGAAGAAAGAATGAAAACAAAAGGCCCTGGATGGTTTGATATGAGTGCTCCTGAAATAACACCAGAATTAGAGAGTGATCTTAAACTACTTAAAATGCGGTCTGTGTTGGACCCAAAACATTTCTACAAGAAGAATGATATGCAAGTTTTGCCTAAGTATTTCCAGGTATTCTTATTTTATAAACTCATATATAAATACTTAAAAGGATTACTAAACACTATTTTTTTTCTTTTGAGTCCATCTCTTTACTTACAGATATTTAATTTACTCAGTATGGCCCCAAATAATAGGTAAATTTTAGCATAACTTATGTACGTACATGTTACTTGAACATAAAACTTCTGTATATTGAACAGAAATTACATAAAAACATTAGTAAACATGATGTGCTTTTCTACAACAATCAGGATCACCACCAGATACTAAAATATGTAACCCAGACCTAGAAGCTAGTTGAATTACCATGAATTTTAGTAGTATTTTATTTATTACTCTTTCATATTATTGTATGATAAACTCACAAATGTATGGTTCTAACAATGTTTATATATTTAATATTAAGAAGTATATTTATTTAAGGTTGGTCAAATTATGGATTCAGCTTTGGACCATGTTAATGAAAGGTTAACTAAAAAGCAAAGAAAAAGAACAATGGTGGATGAGTTATTGGCAGATGCAGAGCTACAGAAGTACAATAAGAAGAAATACAAGGAAATTATTGATGAAAAGAGAAAGACTCAGTATAAGACATTTATGAAGGACAAGAGAATCAAAAATAAAGCTGAATTAAAGAAAAACAAATCTAAAAAAAAGCAGAATAAATAATTGTGGAATATAATCTTTATTTATGTTAAAAACTAGATGATAATAGTATCAAAGGAAATAAGAATTTTAATAATGGCATCAACAATGTATGTGTTTTAAAAACATTCTGATTTATACTAATCTTAATTATATACAATTCATCTGATACTAGAAGAAAAGCTCATTGACACTGTGTGTAGCGACATCTACAATCTGCACTTACAAATAACTGCAATGATGTCAGTCAGTCTGTGATTAGTCTGGTCGAGAAGGTTTCACTCCCTTTAGCTTGGAGAAACAGTACACCCTCCTTCCTCCACACTGGTTTATAGGTTATTTAAAAAGAAGAATGCAAAATAAAAATAAAATATGTTTATTATGGAACATAAGGTACAGGTATCACTTATTCCACGTCATTAAATTTGAATCTTTAGGCATCCCTACTCATCAGCAAAGAAGACAGAGGGTGTAGGCCGAGAGAAAAAGCCGGCGTAAAAAACTCGGTACTCTTTTATAACAGCAAATCATCAAACAACACTTATTTAAAACAAATATCGCAAATTGATTAGAAGTAGCCTGTCTAGCACTAGTCCCAGGCCCTTTTATCAACTAGATAATCGTTGACTTTATAGTAAGCCTTTTTACACAGCTTTTCTTTAATACATTTCTTAAATTTATTGAAAGGCAGTGATAAAAGAGCCTCTGGGATTTTATTAAAGAAGAGTATCCCTTTCCCCAAAAAAGAATTACTAACTTTAGATAGTCTAGTACGGGGAAATTGCAGCCTGCGTTTGTTCCGTGTATTAACATTGTGCGTATGTTCTATTCTAGTAAACTTATCACTATTTTTGTATACATACATAATATTTTTATAAATATATTGCGAGGGAAAGGTAAGTATATTAATTTCCTTGAATTTATCTCTAAGAGAATCCCTACATTTTAAATTATAGATTGCACGAATAGCCCTCTTCTGCAGGATGAAAATAGTTTCGACATCAATAAAGAAGTTGTTTCTAACACAATTAAAAACCGAGATGGCGCTACATTCACACAACTTGGAAAGGCAAAATAAAATACGAATTGAAAACAAGATTTTTATATTATATTCATCAATTCCAAAAATATACCGACACCTTGTAAAATAGAAGACCTATGTATTAATGATTTAATTGATCTAAAAGTCTCGTACTAATATCCACCAGTGACATCAATAGATGCACCAGTTATGAAGGAAGACTTTTCCGAACCAAGAAATGTTATTAACTCAGCCACTTCTGTAACAAAATTATACATTATCTATCTGGTGTTTAACAACATGCACTTAAGTGTCAGAATTTGATAAATCACTTGATTAATATAGTATTGTGAAGTAAACTGTATAAATGGCATGGATGGACAAACTGTCGTAAAGTTCGCACTCTTCTACGGACGGTTTCAGGTTCGATTCCCAGCAAAAAATACTTTTGGTCTAGGGCAGATTAAACAAAACAGAAATAAAACAACAAATGTGTTAAAATACACATACCACTAGGAGTTCCCAATCTCCCCAAAGGCACCATTTTGAGAAGTCCCGCCTTAACTTTATCCGGCACTGTCTTTACCATTGGTGTATCAATGAAACCAGGCAGTATCACATTTACTCTGTAAATTTACATTTTTTTAATTAAAAATTCACCTAAACATTATTTTCGATTTAGTCCAGGGTATAAGCGTGAGATTCTTAAGTCGAGGTTTGAATCTCTGGTGAAAGAAAACATCGTTAGGAAAGGCCTAGGTAAGCCTTTGTCTTTGTCAACACTTAGAGTTGAGTCCTTACTATGGCTGAAGTTGAGAAACTTCATACATAAAAACTGTTAAGACACAGTAATATGTTTACCCCATAGTTACTTTATACACATTGAAAGCAATGCATTTTATTTTTTACAGTATGTAGATGAGTAGAACAATGATAACAATAAAAATACTACATTATATTAATTTAAAAAACCTGATTTCATGTTTATTTTATATTTGGTTGGGAAGTTTACCTTATATTAAACTTCCCTAACTCTTTGGCAGCCGTCTGTGTCATTGCTACCACACCTGCTTTACTAGCGGAATAGTTTGTTTGACCTAGAATTCAAGTAATTTTTCAGTGAAAAACTAGTTAATGTACCTTTTTTTAAGTTCAATATACTATGGTTCACTTGTTTCGTTTTGAAGTTTTACCAAGTTTTCATTATTTTTTTTTATTTTGTATTTTCAGCTTATTGTAGAACATAGCGTCGAGGTGCCAAGACGGGTGGACATTGATAAATAAAAGTGGACTCTTTGTATAAATAAAAGTGACAGTAACACAAAGCTCAATTATACATAAAGTATTATGGGGTTTTAGGTAATTAACAAACAGATTAAAAAAAATTAATATTCCCAGTTTGAAAGGTAAAGTTCAATTATGTGTTTAAATAACTGGTCTATATTAACATAGTCTGTTTCAATTATAGAACAATTTGGGTACTTATTGTAACAAAACTCACAATATGTAATTACAAAATGAAGTAAGCACTTTTTACATTAATCTATTTTACACAATACAATCCTGTTAAAAAACTTACCAATATTACCATACTTCCCCACTATACTAGATATATTTATTATAGACCCAGAAACAGAGTTGTCTGTCATTTGTTTGGCAAAATTCTGCATTATAAGAAATGTGCCCTGTAAATTACAATAAGAATGTGAGAAAAGCCTCTGGACAAATAATTTCCTTTAAAGAAAAACATTATCCCTATAAAATATTTTTTTGCCTGACTATTTATTTGTTATTATTTTAACATACTGTAGTATAATCATTCAAAATATTAAAATCATTACGAAACCATTGGACAACCCGGCGTGTTACCTCACCTAGGGTCTTTTAAGAAAAAGTTAACAAATGACAGAATGGGAATACCCAAGAAGCAAAAACTAGCAACCATTCAAAATAAGAACAAGTGCACAGTAATTTTTATCTATTAATTAAAGCAAGTTTACATAAATAAATTTTAATTTAAAAACCTGGGATATACAGGGCAGACATTGTTGCTAATTACTTAAAACACTTAGTGTTTTATAAATTTATTTGTAATACCTTGAGATTAACATTGACAACACTATCATAGTCCTCTTCTGACAATTTTAACAACCAATTGTCCCTTGTTATTCCCGCAGAATTAACAACTATCCTAGGCACCTCTGTATACTGTTTTGATAATAGTTGTATAAGATTTTGAATGGATTTGGTATTGGTAACATCTAGTTCCACTGCACTGTGATCACCAGCAGCTGTAAATAAAACATTTCTAAATTTCATCATCACACATTTTCAGAAATAATATTTAATATATTTACCTGTTTTAATACTACGATAAATATGTTAGCTAATGTAAAATATAACAGATTTTTAATGTTAATTTCAAAAAATTTAACTCAAAAAAAACTACTAGATCAAAATAGCATCTTTTGTGGCAAAATGTTAATTTTTCTTGGTCCAAAATATATTTTAAATCATACCATTAGATCCAGATGCTAAAGCTGTATGTGTTTTAATAGTTTCCAGAGCTGCATCATAATTTCTATCAGCAGCAATGACAGTAGCACCTTCCCGTGACAAAACTTGGCAAGCTGCTCTACCAATACCAGAGCCGGCTCCTAAACAACAAACAAATCATTTTAAGTGAACTAAGTTTAAAACTAATATTATAGACTCGGAAATTAAGGGGTAAAAAGATGGGTGCAGGTCAGGTAAACACAAAAAAAACTTAAAAAAACATTATTTAGTAACACTTATGCTGTGGTAAATTTTAATAAATAAATAAAAAAAACTACCAATTAAAATGTTTTATGTTTCATAATAAATATATAATTTTATATATTTATTATTAATTGTACATTTATAGTAGTGATGTAACGTTGGAAGCTAATAAGGTTTATTTATTCAATAATTCCGTGAATATTAAATAAAATAACTGTATTCTGTTTACCTGTAACAAGTGCTAATCTTCCTGAAACCAATCCTGTGACCATTTTCCTTTTATTAATTAAAACAGTGTTATAATTTTAGTAAAAACGTTCTTGCAAGTTATCAAAACTATTAGATTGCCCTTTGATCTTAGATAGTGTGATCACTATATTTTATTAACTTGTGATAAACATACATAAAGCAATAAATCGCAATGTTTTCAGAGTAAGTTATACCTAAATCAAGGTGTAAAAAACTAACTAAAGTATTATACAAATAATTTTTAAAATAAAAAAACAACTGAATTAGGTCTTAAAACTTAAAAAGCTTATTTAAAAAATGTCTTATTTTAATTTCTAGCGCCGATCTACGGAATACGGATCGCGCTAAGTGTTCACTGTTCTCACTTCTCCTTCTCATTCAAATTTCGATTCAACTGACATTTGACTGCTGAGTGCTGACAATAAAGGTGGAAACATACTACTAAAACGCCACGCGACGCAACGTGTCGACACCCGATGTCCATCGTGCACATTATCATTGACAAATGTGTTTTTTGTTAGGAAATAATAATCAGTAATTCATTTTTCGTACATCAGTGTCAATGCTTTTATTAATCAAGTGATAATAAAAAGCAGAAGTACAATTATTATAATAATGATGTAAATAGACTTAATGTGTGACATTATGTTTTTTGAGGCTGTTTTTTTTGCAGTCGCGTTATCGGTAAACATCATAACTAGGATTGTTATGATGGCGCATGAAAAAATAATTCAATTTATTAAAAAAAAATATTAATATAATAAGTAATAACCTTAACCTAACCGAACAATATTAATAAAAAAAATGTGAGCCGTCACGGGACGCCTGGCAGATGTGAAACATCGACATTATTTTGTAATAGTTTGCAGAAATATGCAGAAAAGAACAGATTGTGATATCAACTAAAGATGTCATAATAATAAAGTAAAATATTACGATTTTTGGGGGGGGGGGGGGGGGGGGGGTGGGGGGGGGGGGGGGCGCCGCCCGGGGGAGAAGCACGGCTCATGCGGGTTTCCTCTTAGGGGGGGGGGGGGGGGGGGGGGGGGGGGGGGGGGGGGGGGGGGGGGGGGGGGGGGGGGGAAAAAAAAAAAGAAGGGGGGGGGGGAGAAAAAAAAAAAAAAAAAAGAAAAAGGGAAAGGGGGGGGTCCCTCCCCCCCCCCCCCCCAAAAAAAAAAAAAAAAAAAAAAAAAAAAAAAAAAATTTTTTTTAAAAAGAAAAAAAAACCCACCAAAAAAATATTGGGAGGGGGCGGTGACGAAAAGGGAAGGGAAGAAAACCGACACGACAGACAAGTGATTTTTTCTAGATAACGATGACTATATTGAATAAATATTTATTTTCATTAAATACAAAAATTTATTTATATTTATTTCAAATCGTGACTACTTAATTCGTTTAATCAGTGACTTCGAAATACACACACCGTACACACTACTGCATATAGACTGTATATATATATATACCATCATATAGCGAGGCGACGCGTCGCCACGGCATGCGTCGCCACGCCAGAAATCGGTTTTACGTGCGGCTATAGATGTTACACATCAATAGTTTTTTTGGACAGCTCCAGCGCTGCGGGAAATGCAGCCCCTACGCCCTTGCGTACCGAAGCACAGGCATTTTATTATGTACCTGTGCTTTGTTACAGCGGGTGGGAGCTGCTCTTCCTCCGCGCCTCCGATTTTTTATATACACTTTAGATGTAAGGCAGACAAGACCACGTAGATAGTGGGGTGCTCTGATTTGGTTTTGGGTACTTTCAGATATTTTTTTTTTTTTTGGGAAAAAAGGTCATGCGCCATCATAACAACACTAGTTATCTTGCTGAGAGTGAGAACTCATGACGAAGTCTTAAAAAAATAATCAGCCTCAAAATCGCTAGTGCCGAGATACGGAGTATTTACCATTTTAATTAATAACTTTAATTATGGCAATACGCTCTGCGTGAAGCTACTTATGTATCCGGCTAATAAATAAATTAAAAAAAAAAAGAAGCTACTTATAAAAAAAAAACTTTAATTATTTGTCTAAGTTCAAAGTGACAGTTAGTACTCGCAAGTTTGGTGTTGCAAAAAACATTGCTGATAATAATTAACATACCGTACAGTATTTTACTGTTGTATACAATAAAGTTGTAAAATAAATAAATAAAAATATACAGTTAAAAACGATCGAACGATTATATTTACTCAAAATTTATAAAAAGGTACTACGTATCTGAATTAAATTAAAACAAAGGAATTGTTTTCAAATGGTTGCTAAACTTTAAACAATGGCATTCACCAAAACCATTTTACTTACTATAACTTTATTTCTTGCCTCACATGCTGCATATAAATATTTTCGAAGGAAACCGAAAAGACGACTAAAGATCAACGATGTTATTATGTTCTCGAATAAAAATTCAGAATTCAAATCAAGCAAATATTTGAAGCAAAACTTAACCGAAAGTGTCGAAAGGTTATTCAATTATTTAAGCTCAAGCTGCCATAGTTTGGATATATGCATGTATGTATTAACAAATTCAGAAATTACAAACATCATCATTAAACAACATTTACGCGGTGTAAAGATACGTGTTATTCTAGATGCCGATATGGCATTCTCATCAGGGTCTACTGTAAAGCGTTTAGAAAAACATGGAATACATGTACGCTGGATGAAAGCAACAGAAATTATGCATAATAAATATTGCATTATTGATGGAGCTGCTACAGAAGACTGTATCCCCTTTGTCATGACAGGGTCATTAAATTGGACAAATCAAGCTTTGTATAGGAATTGGGAAAATGTTCTTGTAACATCTCAAAAACATATAGTTTATTTGTATAAGGTTGAGTTTGAGAAAATGTGGGAACAGTTTAAACCTATAGTCAAAATAGGTAGATAATTTATTAAAACTATACTTCTAGATGTTTAACCTTAGTTGTAAAACAAGCTGACTCTTCAGTTTCTTTAAAAATTACCAAGTTGACTATTTTGATATTCTAGGCAATATATTTCAAAAAGTTCTGTTACTTCTTAAGCATAGCGTTGACATGTTTTAGCATTTGCTGTTCAACTTACATGCACTGAAAACATAGACTGTATAAATAAATCAATCTTCAAAATAGTAACACACATAGTACTAGTATTAACCAAAAGTTTAATTGGGTTGTTTGTTGTTATTATTACAGTTATTACATACAAAAAATACCAAATGGTAATTTATTATATAAAGTATTTAGTGGATAATGTACTTAAGTATTGGTGCTTCTTTTCCCTGTTACTTTTTACTCTTAGTATTATGTGATATTTTGTATAAGTTAACCGTCATTGTAGTTGTCTTGTAATAAATATTAGTTTTTTTAAATTCTTTTATTAAATTAATACTGCTTCCTTCATTTAATCTTTATATATAAAGAAAATAGGCCCACCTAAAATTTTTAGATAACAATGTTATTTTTGATAAGCATGTAATTCTCTTTAGTAGATTATCTATGAAAAAAAGGAGGTTGCAGACAATTTTGCACCTCTTCACTTAGAACCTATTTACTGTAATCCTAAATAGTTAAGTTACGGTAAGGTAGAATGTATGATCGAAGCAAAAGAATTAAAATAATCAAAATCGCTATATACCAACATCAACAGGCCCTCTTCTACTCAATTAGGCTACTGTATGCAGGTGAACATTTATAAAATATACAAAAAATAATAATAAGGTAAAACTCATATTTATATTATAGTTTCTTAAAAGGAAGTTCCATAGTATTCCATTAGTTTTAACATATAAAGTATCTATCGTAAATTAAAAGATTGAAAAAAAAATCTCTCATTAGTGAATAAACATTTATTCTTAAATACAAAGTTAATCATAACGTAATATTATTAATGCTAAAATCGTGTGGTCGGAGGCGTAAATTCAAATTATAATTGTGATGCGGTTGCAAAGGCCCGCTGTAGCCACCGATGATACCACACGAGGGATAATTTTCTGCACCGCCGTAATTATTCATACTTTGACCCATTAAAGTATTATTAGGGACGTACTGACGATTCCCTTGCATCATCAGGGAATAGTCGCTTTGATAGTTTGTAATAGGGAGACCCAGGTTAAAATTAAGGTTGTTCGTTTGAAAATGATGGAGCCAGGGTTCCTTGCGAGCCTCCTGTCTGTCTGCTTGGGGAATGCCGATGGGAACTGGTAAGGGTTCTGGAGAATTGTGGCTCGTACTCCGATGGCTGGAGAGGGCAGATCTTTCGTTTCGTCGAAATTTTGCGCGTCTATTTTGAAACCACACCTATAAAAAAGATTGAATTAAATAATCACCCGATTTCTAAACGAAAATCTAAAAGATTTTTTTCCCTCTCATAGAAGATCAACACTAAACATTTGTACGTTTTCGTTGTACTGTTTACTGGCCAATCTAAGTATCTAAGTACCTATAATCATTTTATGCTTTATGGACTGATAACCAAGTATCATTTAATAAATACAATATCAACTCTTATCTATTAAAGTTTTCTTTCCAATACTTTATATAGGCTCTTTATTTGCTCATTTTTGTTGTATCTAAATAAACCATAGTATGGTCTTTTAAACGTCGGAAATAAAATTAATTATAATATAAATAGTTATAAGTAGGGATGCATCGATACGCTTTTTTGCCGATACGATACCGATGCCGATACACTTATAGGAATATCGTCGATACCGATACCGATACCAACGCTTATTGAATTAAAATTAAATTAACGTAAAATATATCAAGTTAAGTTAAAGTTTATAATTTTTATTAAAAAAATATAAATATATACAATAAATAGTCACAAACTTTAAATAATTTGAATGGTTTTGTTACTAAAATTAAGAATTAAACTAAAATTGTAATTCAGTATTTTATTAAATTTGGTATCGAAAAAATACTACTCGCGATAGCAGTTAAAAGCCAACTAAATGATCTTCAAATCTACGTTCAATAAAGTCTCAATGATCTCCCGCAAGCCATAATATCTAATAACTATGCGCTGGCAAAGA